TATAGTATAACTTACGACCCTAGTCACTAAAAGTTGGATAGAGTATCCACTGTAGAAGTGATATTTGTGTAAAATTGCTTTTCTAAACAAGTTCATTTCTAACTGCCATTCACGGATACTGGGCTTCATCTCTCGATAATCATGCGGATGTATCGGGTTTTGATCAGTATCTTTCATCCAAGTGAAATAGTACGCGCTACATTCACATTTTACCTTGTGTCTGATTTGGCATTGGAATCTGTTTTAATTCTATTTCAACTACAGACAATTCAGGCGAAGGTAGAAGGAAATGAGCCACTTCATTTTGAAAGCCTCTAAAATCTAATGTACGAAGAAAGCATTGATTGATAGTTCTGTCATTTGGCTATCATGTCGCTATTAGGTAATCAGTATGTTACGTTTCACAGATTCACATGAAAATATGTATTTATTTAATCTAACGTCTTAGTGAGTTGTTAAGATAGGCAATTATTCGGTATATTGATCACTATTTCAAGCCAAAGTATCAATTTGTTGTTGCCTTTTTTCTAATTATAAATAACCTACGTAGATTGGTGAGGAAATACGTGTCGTCATCACCCTAACGGGTTCAGTTAGTATTGTTGGTGGTATGAAGTTGGGTACCTGTTAATATTAGTAAGGTATCAATAAAAAAGAAAACGGTTCAGAGAACACGGCGATGATTTTCGAACAAAAACTTACGGGGGTGCCTATCGCGATAAAGGTTGCCTGCGTGCCACATTTGACGAAACTCTGCTGGCCATGACTTCTAAGCAAGCTCGCCCTGTCTTGTACTCGTAGATATTTTTGGCTAATTGTTTTCACTACACTCTGTTCAAGCCGGCCCTTCTCGACCTCGGCATTCTGATGCTTAGTTCTGGAGTCTTTTTGAAGAATCCACAGAGCTAATCGTCGCTGACAGAATTGTTGCTTGTCCATATTTTTGGTGCTATTTACCTACGAGATAAAGAAAAAGCCAAGCTTATATTGTTTGAATCAAACTATCTAACCTATACGAGACTGAACCTTGGGCTTTATATTTATAGTACACAGCACGTACCTTGTCCCCCTGAAGCACGGGTGTTTCAACCTGAGAGGTTTTCCTAATAAACTCTCTGAATCATGCGTTGTCGCAGTGCTTCACTATTTGAACGATGACTAAAATTATCATATCATTTTCTTATTAAGTCATAGAACTCGATATGCCTGACGTGACGGTTTCACTACAGTCAGTAGACTAAAATATCGGTAAACTGTATAAATAAAAAATGGTAAATAAAATATGGAAGGTGTCAGCAAGATTGGCTCGCGGTTGGCTGGAGCAGCATTTGTGGGCTCGTTGTTCCGCAGAATTAGTCATGGAGACACAGTAACAGAGTTATAGTAACAGAGTTATAGGAAATAAGTTATAGAGAGCAAAAAACAAGAAGAGCTCGACATTTTAGATCTGTAACGGCAAGCGTACCAAACTAAGTCAAGTGTCTTAGAAAAAGTGGCCTAAATGCTTAACTCATTTGTGGATTATTACATATGATATTAGAAAAAAAGACTGGAGTGCGATGGTTGTGTCGCATGTACGCACCGCTGAAACGGTGTGCCCAATAGCTCTACTTACGGCTATTTCAACTTATGTTAATCCCATATTTAAGACAAAGCTCAGTTTTTCAAGAAAAAGTATAAACCTGGCAAAGTGAAATATGTATTACGGCAAACTGAAAGAACACTCGGTCCGGCTGATATGAAAATCACGATATATTACCGGATGATAGGTAAACAACTATAAAAATCATTATTTACAGCGAAAGGAAAAATGCATTCTGATAATCAATTCAGTCCTACTGTGTGACATTATATAGCTTCCGGCGGACATGTTCGCGGTGTTTCGATCCAGGCCCGTGTCCTTGCAGCTTGCCTTTCCCCACATGTACCAAATGGCCTATGCAACAGAAAACCTACGACAAAAAACCATATTGACTCCAGAGATAATCAGTGCCGTCGAAAAATACATTTCTTACGCTTGTCTCGATAGATTCGTTAGTGAAGAGACCTAATGTGGGTACGGCCACTACGTTACGGATTGTTCACGGAAACTTCAGATAGGTTATAGAAATGGGACAAATTTCTTTTGAGCTAATAAATAGGTGTATGTATTCACGTAAGGCTCAACCGTCGAAAGGATCGCTAACTTGTTTAGCGATCCTTTCACAGTATATTTGCTCTTTGGGAGATTGGACAAAGAGAAACTTTTTCGGTTAACATTCACGTATTGAGCGATGTATCCAGTGAAAGAAACGCTAAGCCATCGTACCACTTCCAAGAACGCAGTTCTTTTTTTTAATTATAAGTTTTGTCCGCGTGTTCTTCAAACTATTGTGCAAAGTTGGCTGGGCGAAAGTCTTAATTCCTCCATTGTGATGGCGCAAAGTGCAGGACTAGCTACTCGAGGCGTATTCTGACGTGGGTACATATTGCGGCCGAACAGCCTAAAATTGGGCTTGTTTGTCTACTCTATATGGAGCATAATAGAGCAAGAGTCAATCACTTTTTGTCATCGTCAACTGATTAGCAAATGCCTTTATCTTAAGCATGCCTGTAAAATTGTAAAGAGAGCATCTGAAGTGAGACTATGATTGGTTCCTGTCCTGAATCGAAGATATAATCGTGGTGAATGGTGGTTACGCTAAGTAGATATGGATGTAAAAAAGACAGTTCTAACATGTGCAAATTCAGCAAAAAAAATATGCCAAATGGCCAGATTAAGTTTTCGGCTGCTCGTTTTTTTTTTGCGAATCAGTGCTTCGTCTAATCATGAAAAAGTGTTTAGTATTTAGTTTTTATAGGGGCAATTGTAGGCAGATAAGACATTTACCTACGTTACGAAAGTCACGTTTGCTAGATATATACAATATCTTTTGATAAATACAAAGCTACTTCAATTATTCAAAGGCTTCTATTGCCTTTCGCTGAAAACAAAATCGTCACCGATACTGCTTCCTTGTGGGAGACTTTTCTTTCAACTAAAATAGCGCGCAAAACTAATTCGCATCCTAATTCAGCTCTAATTCTCCGACAGTAAAAGCTAAAAGTCATGACCCTTCGTTAGCAGTCAAGTTCTATTGCATGCAGAAGAACTAGGTTGATGGATTCGAGCTTATTCGATGGTGAGCTTATTGGCAGTATGGAAAGGTCTTGTAGTTGTAGGAACGGGTTTAGCATAATGTTGACGTAGCCTTTATGAGGAGCACAGTCGTGTGCTTGCTTTTGCCATGATCTTTGAGTTAACCCTACAGACTGCTTCAGCACCTCTATTGCTTATAATCAAGAGTCGCTTCGCATTTAGTTAAAATACCATGGATGAGGCTAGTATATCATACACATTAGGCGGTAATCAGGTTGTCAACCTAACGTTGTTTACGTGGCGGGGCAGCCACCATGCTTTACCCATATATTCGTCTAGGGTCAGCCAGTGCCTAGGGGTCTGCATATATATTGCATTTCAGTAAGTGATATAGATTGCGGCCGTCGTGCGTGCATGCATGCATGCATACGGTGCCATTGCAGCGTTGTATCCCATTACGGGCAATGTTATTCAGTTTACTCTTCTTGTTTGCGCTCAGGAAGAAGGATGACGTTTATGTAATATTGGGTGCTGCGCCGGCGGCTCGATCAGCTCGTTTATTCTGAAAACGGCTACGTGTAGGACCTTCTTGACTGTCTCAATCCTAGCGCTCGACGCAATAGTGTACCTTGCGTATGGCAATAGTCAGTGTGTAGCTATCCTTGACATCCATAGCGTATCGTTATTCTTTTGGAAAGTTGGCTGAATACGTGCAGTTCCTGAGCAGCTTGACGATGTTGCTAGAACCTGTGAGACAAATTCACCTGTTCCTACCTCTAGCCATTTGATCGAATTTCGGGCGAAATATAAACGGGGATCGTGACACAACTGTGTCATTGTGAACGCTCGAGACTATCTAACCGCCATTTTTCCCTTATGTCGTGCTGCGCGTCATAGCGCAAGCCCGGAAAATAACCACAAAGACACACAGGCACCTGCTAAACACACACAGCTACGAAACGCTAACACACTTGAATATTAAAATACGCCTGTAGCAACCAATACGCTTTCTTTCAGAAATACAGACTCACACAGGCTTACGCGGAGTCGTACGTACGCAGAGCGACCCCAGGCAAACCATTACAGAAGCTGCATCCGGCGGACGTTAAACGAGCGCAGTCGTCGTATACGTCTTAGTCACAGTAAGCATTAGCTCGGAATTAGCTCAGCGGCCGGATAAAGGAATAGTAGCTAGCTTTAGTTTATGAAGGATCAAGGCAGACAGATAGGCTCATTCCAGCCCATGGAGACATTCGTTATTTTCATGTTTCCTTAGTCGCCTCGGCCGCGGTAGGCTGAGCTATCGACTTTAAGACGCCGGCCTGTGTCAGCCTGCTGCCCACGGCATCATAATCATACGGTTGGCAACGGTCTTTTGCTGGCAAGACTGACAAGGATTTACGCGGCACGAGGGGGTCGCTCGGCTAATTTACACTGTAGTTGTTTGTGTATGAGAACGAAAAGCCAAGTTGGGAGGAATCGCGTTAGTGTTGTTGTTATCTTACCCGTACACTCGCAACTTGTAATAACGATAACGAACAAGGAGACAGACAAGAAAATAAGGAGGACGGAGTGATACATGGAACATAATTAACAAACGGGCTAAGCGAAGACCTATATCCTCCCGTAAAGAATGCTACCCGAGTATGTATGCGCGTAACCGTGCTTACAAATAGGTCTAAGAACTTACTTAGTGATCGAGCAGAAGTTGAACGATGACGACGAGGCAGGGTTCTGTCGTGCTTTTGCTAGCCGCTGGCGTCTGGGCTTCGTTGGTGAGCTCGCTTAGCAATGCGTACCCCCTATTTGATAGAACCACTCCAACAGAGGAGAGAAACGGTACTGTGACCCTGGATGCCAACGATTTTCATCGACTGATAAACACGCTAGTTGATACTGTGGAATATTTGAAACGATCAGGAACAAAATGTTGCCAAGGCTGCCAGCCACAGCCACTGATGATACCATGGATGGCTGTTCCGTTGTTGCCTATGAATCAGCCCTGGTACGCGGTTCAGTCGTACAACAGTGAATTTAATGGACTATCTTATGTTGCTTATCCACCAATTTCCCCACAGTTTGCCTTCAGTGCACAAAATGGGACGCTATACAGTTCGAAAGGACGTTGGGTTTATCCCTGGCCTCAGAGACTCTGTCCATGCCAGGGGTCAACTCAACAACAGTCTGTTACTTACAGTCCACTTCTTCGGGTAATGCCTTATCCCGAAGCCGTTCAGCAGGCTACGCATATCCAGGGCATAGATGTAGGACAAGATCGAGCTGTACAAGGAAAAGTAGATTTAGTTATTGGCACGAATGCTACGTCTGCTCCGCCAACTCCATATGATATCTTACACGTAACTACATATGAACCTGGGGCTGCTATACCGACGGACATTGCGTTTACCAAAATCGTCGAAACGACTATGTTACCCCACTCAGAGCCTACCGGTCTTGAATATGATGTCGAAACGGCAGAATCAATTGACGTAACTAAGAATGTACAAAACAACAACCAAATAGATATGTCTAGTATAGGTGCATCGACCTGGAGACAACAAACTGACCTGGGCAGTACCACCGAATCTAGTTTTATGGTCCTATCCGAGCATCCTGAAACCGAATCGCCTGCTACAGAGCACGTTATTTTTAGCGAATCCTTTGCTTCGAAAGGGATTACTCAAAATGAATTTCTAGTGGCTTATACAAAGCCGCCGGTTGAATCATTTACGGCGGTAATCTATGAAACGACAACACCATCACAACTAGTTTATACGGAAAGTTTGTCGTTGGTTAACATCGAAGAAGCCAGCGAACAGCTTCTTTACACAGAAACCCAGCCACAACCTGCTTCGACGGAGCGTGTTGAAGTGCTAACCGTTACCGAAGCTATATTCACTGTACCATCTGAAGAAACCATTTCAAGCGAAACTGATGTGTATACCACGGTAGCTGGATACGAAGCGGCTGAATCCACTGAAATGACCATTTTCGATGGGATTCATTGGACAGCCACGAGTGAAAAATCTCAGAATGAAAATGCTTATATCGTCGCTATATCCGAAGCTTCTTCTAGAATTTCAAAACCACAAGTAATTGCAATTGCAGAGCGACCTCGTTTTTCCACAGAGATGATCGACGCCGAAGTGCAGTACTCTGGGCCTACGACGGAACTGTACGAAATGGAAACTTCTCAAATTCAGATTGCCATGCTATCGACGACTCCTCCACCTGCTGCGCCGCTTGCGACTGAAGTCTTTCACGGTGAAACCGAAGTATACGAATATAAGGTAGAAGCTACTGAACCACGGATCACAGAAAAGGATCATACCGTAGTGCTATACACGGATTCAGTGACGGACGTGCTTGACATGAAGACTATCCATGGTACTATCCCGATAGAACGTACCACCAAGCTACCGCCTATGGATGCCTTAACAGAAATAGTCGACAAAGAGGCTGAAGTATATGCGACGACCACGACGAAAATATTCGTAACGACCACTGAACAACCTGAAACATTGCTCACCGAAGTTGTCACCGCGACATACACAACAGATGTTCTGAGGACCGTGATGGACCTCGTACAACCCGTAGAAGTAACAACCGGCATCACTCCAGAGCAACTAAGTGAGGTGTTTAGCACGGAATGGACCGTAACGGAATCTAACACGGAGTTCATACACAGCTCGGAGGCTCATATGAAAAACGTGATAGAGCACATAAAACTGTATCGAGAAACAGCACAACTGGACGCTGAGGAAACGCCTACAGCTTCAAGAACGGATGATGAAGCCAAATACTTCACAACGTCATCAATAGCGCTGGAAGAAATCACCACCGAAGCAGCCGTGGAAGCGCTGCCCTCAACGAATATCGTATCTGAAATGGTCGCTACAGAGGTGATCTTTACCGTCACGTCGGAAATACCTTCTGCGGCCGACAGTGCAGATACGGTTGAAGTCACAGAAGTGGGCGAAAAGCTGGCTAGCGTGATGGTTTCTACAACAAGCGGCCCCAAAGTCAGTACCGCCGACATCGAAATCGAGAGCGACCATTCGGTCTCCACAGAAATTGTAACAGCAGAAACTGTTGCGTCTGTACCTCTGTGGTTGAATAGGACATCAGTCAGACACCCGATGCGGAACAACATAGTCCCTGTTGAGCTAATGCTCACAGCATCCGAAACGCCAAAGACAGACGCGGATAGATTGCAATTGATAGGTGCATCATTTAGTTCGGATAATATATCCAATACGGTTGAGTCTTTCGGATATGATACGGTGCCGCACGTAAGTAGTATTATTCAATAGTAGGCTCAAAGCTAACGTTGTTTCGATGACGCCATTGTTGCTTGCTTTTCAAACTAGGTTTTTACTGGTTGGGAGCGCGATGTTGTAAAGTATGCGAGTTAGGCATCTGTAGTGATACAGGTACCTGTCGTCGAAACTAACTACCAATTGCTACTTCTCCTTGAAATGTAAATTGTAAACATATAGAAACAGCCCGCTAAGTTACCGTATTTTAACAATTCTATCTAAACCTTATCCTGATCCAAACTGATCTCGTCCATTTACAGAAGGCCTAAGACGTGCATTTTCAGGATAAGCTTTGAAGCATATTACTGAATTGAATAACAGCTTCATTTACAAAAAAAAAAAAAAAAGTAGTATGCGATATTAAACGTATCAAAATCTTCTTCAAGGAAACAATAATAATTTGATTTTATGTAATTATTTGTTTGTAACATGTTAAATCAGGTGCCGTTTTATTCATGGTGTTATTTAGCACTAATGTCTGCTGAGAAAAAATCAAAAAGCCACTTAAATCCACGTAAAAGGCATAGATTCCTTATTTTACTTGATTTCTGGGTAAGATACATGTTATCAGCTGCGTGAGTACATGATCGCATTTTAATCTACAGAGATTCTCATTTCTCATGTAATCCTATACAGATAAAAGAGTAATTTGCCGTCTTTATCACAGCTAACAAGCATTTTTCCGCTCTACACTCTATTTTAATAAAAAAAAAGAGAGAGCGAGAAAGATATCGTCATCATTTGAGGTTCTCTATAAACCTTTTTCGCTATAACGAATAAGCGATAAACAGAATCCCATAGCTAAAATAGAGAAATCCAAGGTTTATTGCAAACGGAAATCTCGTACGTATTTCTAAAAGACAATACGAAATTGTAATAGCAGGCAACCACTATTTCAAATAGCTAGTAAAACGTCATGGCCTTATGGACGAGGCTGTATTCAATAAATGGATAGATTAATATATATATACCACTGTATTGTTGTAGAAATAATAATCAGTGTTGGCAGGGGCTTTTGAAATGCAGTTTTGTCGTTGTACGATGCTTTGCGCGTAACCATAAAAAGCCCCAGTGGAGAGTGTTTGTTCTTCAAGTGCAAAAAAAAGCCGCTTTCTAGACCGATTCCACATAAATTCTCACGTCCTGAGTGCATATGGCTTAGTATCGCTAGGGTCTCTCTTAGCGTTACCGTGATAGCTTAGGTGGTAACATGCATGCATGCTAATGTTACGGGTACGTTACGATCTAGGTTCAAACCCGGGTATAAATAGACTTTTTTTTGTGCTGGGTGCCAACCATCCGATGGAATGCTAACATCGATATCGGACGTAAAACTCAAAACTTAGCAAATTATTCTATTCGGGATGTGCTTACTCGCATGTTACCCAGTTTTGTCTAGCTTGTAACGGTTTGGCTGGGTCTATGGTCCATGGAAATGTCCTTCTGGTCGTAGCCTCAAGACTACCTTCAATGAAAATCATGAATGCTAAGGTTCGCTTAGAGTTCTAACTGGCTGTACTAGTTTTAACTGCATAGCCTCGAATACTCTTGTTGAAGTAATCGTATCGAAACGATAAACGATTCTTTTAATAGTTAACCTCGATTGGCATACAAGTAACTTAATGTTGCCGATTTTCTTGTTTTTAGTACTCGGTAGTTCGGGCTCTTATAACACCGTCACCGCAATCACAGTTCGTCATTTGGAGTCCCGCTAGTTCCGTTCAGCCCATTCAGGACCTCACATGGACTGATGATATCTCACGGTTCACCATTGGAGCCACTCTGACTAAGCCATTATCATCATACAGTTCTGGTTCTCGGGAGTTACTTAGAACGTATACTGTGCCGGCCGAACCGATGACACTTTTGTCAGAGCAGTGGACGCCTTCTGGAGAGATCCACGCCTCATATGCTCAGACTATTCCAGGGGAGTCCGTTTCCGATGATAGTGAAAGTAACGTGTCGCAAGACGAAGTTAACATTGATCTTGCCTATCCTAACCATATACGACAAGGGGTAAGCCCCCCCATGGACAACTTTGCCAGTGTGGAGGAAGTTACTTTTATTCCGTATATAGAGAAACAGAGCTGGCATCAGTATCCTGTTCAAAGAGAACCCTCCTCAATTCCAGTAGAAACGGTGAATTTCGACCCAATCGACATGAGAACCCCGCCTGAGGCTCCAACTGAGACCCGTACATTGGAGATGGACATAGTTCATCCGAAAGAAGTGGCGTATACTCCAAGTCCTCAGGCAGATGCCACGGATTATGAAATCGAGAGGGAAACAATTGAGAACAAAAAGCTACAGACTGTTCCGGCGTACATCGAAGTCGATCTACCTGGAGCTGTTTCTTCGACTGATTTCATAAATATTAATAGTTCTGATGCTGATCGAACAGAACTTGAAGCACCTGTTCGCCACGCTTACTCTGAGTCTGTAGTTGGAGAAGACTTCACGGCTACGAGTATGCCATTTGTCAGTGCAGTTACAACAGCTAATAATAACCTCGGCATCGAAGCAAGCACCGTAGCAGAGATGTCAACTGAGGTAGCTAACGTTGACGAGCTCTTTAGCACTAAACATGTGGAAGTTTACTCTGTTGACACGACGCCAGAATCATTTGCAGCTGTCGGAATCACAGAGACGCAGACGGTTCCAACGAGATATGGAAGAGAAACAAGTAGCGCTCTAACCTCCATCGAAGTGTTTGATACTGATATGATAAGTAGGTTAAACTTAAGCAAAGTAACACCAAACGAGTCCATTGCAGGTTTTCCTACTGTTACGGTGACAACGGACTGGGTGGACGCAGGTTCTACCGATAAGCTGGAAAATTCTACCAAAAACATTAGTCAGAAGTCATCAACAGAGGTCGTTCAGGCTGATGCAATAGTTTCTGCCCCGTTCTCCACCATTGAAGAAATGCCTCTTTCTACAGCCGAAGATGCAGTGATGCATTTAAGGAGCCACTTCTACGCTGAAAATTTGCAAAGGTCCGCAGAAGATCTGAAAGAGGGAAAAACCATTGATACTTTAGAACTAGATAATAGTAACCAATTTGACGATTTAGATGTAAGATCTGCTGAAGAAGTAGATACATCAACGGAAGTTACCACAAAAGCCCACTCAGTCACGGTGAGTCCCTTCGCAATAGCAGACAGCGTCAATCAATCATTTGATTTTTCTCTAGGCCAAGTACCGGAGAGTAGTCCTAGTCCAGATTGGCTAACAGCATTTATCACTGTTATGAGGACAACCACTCCGGCAACTGAGGCTTCAAGCCTAGAACAGATCAGTTATCGAACACCGACAGCAAACAAAGATTTGACCCAAGTGATGAATGATTATGATTATGAGGATCAAACCGTTGATAATTCATCTACAATGGATTTCACTACAACAGATTCGTCGGAAACTGAGGAATCTTTATGGCATATGGAAAGTTACGAAGACTATATGCAGCCAATCGCAATGGTAACACTCGAATCGAGCGCTAGAGATGAAAGTTCCGAAGTTCGAGTAGCTTCAACTGACAAAGCGTACCTTACGTATGAGCAAAACTATCCGGCCAAGATAGAAAAGAACACAAGTGAGAACAGCAATACTGTTACTGCCAAAATTGTAGTCACCCCTGAAGTAAAAGAGATCCCCGAGCCAGCTGTGCCTACAGATCAAAGAGATTCTTTAGCAGCATACACCATGCCTACGAACACAAAACTTACTCCCCGAGGAATACCTGTCGATAGCAAGACTGAAACACCCATTCCAACAAGCAATGGCATGGCAATAGTTGATGAGACAGAGGTAATCAGTACAAGTGAAGACAGGCCAAGCAGTTCTACGCAGTTTCCGATATATCTAGGAGCAGAGTATGCGAGTACAACAATGTTCCCCGAAAAAGCCTCAGATCAAGGTACCATCGCATCTATAGATATGAATTACAGTGGACGAGATCGGACGGAGGCTGAATATTCGGGACAAACAATATCAAGTGAACTGCATGGTTCAAGAGATATTCGTACTGAAAGTACAATGACAGAATTCGGTGAGGTCGACTACAGAGGGTTTACCGATAAACCCGATGAGTCGTTCGCTTTTAGCTCTGCGCTGCAGCCTACACATAAGACACAATCGGATACCACCGTGAAGGCCAGCTCTTCGTCAGACGTTGAGTTCCTTTTGGACGGGATCGGCTCACCTCAACCAAGAAGCTCGATCGAAGAAACACGACCAAAGGAACAGGAAAGTCTACCTGCAAAGATTGATTACTCAGACGAGAAAGAGCCACTCGCTTCAAATACGGTAGCGACTGAGATAGTGCCAAAAATAACTGATAGAGTTCAGTCGCAACCTTCGTACATTGAAGCTGAAAACACGTTGACCTTAACGGATTCTTCTATTCATCAAGAAGAATGGGTGAAGTCACATCGAATAACGACGAGCACTTGGCAAGAATCAACATCCGCTAAAAATATACCTTTTGAGTCCTTTACAAGCATCACGGAGTCAACTGCATTAACTGATGGCGTGCCTACCTTAGATATGTTCCTACCAATGAGTGATCACAAAATAGGAGTTAGCAGCGAATTGCAAACACTAAGACCCAAGCTTATAGAATTAAAGCCAACGACTGGTACTATCAATAGATCAGAGTGGCCACTCCTCGGCGCCGTTACTGCGCAGTCAAGTGTCGAGGTCGATAATGAGTTCTATCAAACATCAAGCGAATCGCTCTACGGATTAGAACTGCGTGACAGACCGTCAGATGTCGATCGCAGCGCTCTCTCCACGGATTCAAGCGCGCAATCTCCCTTATACGACGTAATAACGGAAGTAACTCAAATTTATAAAAATACTTCCTTAAGAAATACTAGCACCGAAAATGAGCAGCAGGCTATTGAGGAACGCCAAGCGCAGCTTGCAACTTCGTTGAATATTAACCAAGAAATGTACGAGGTTACATCAAATGGAATTGGAATAGATGGTGCTGATAGCACCGTCATCGGTGATTCGTCAACGAACCCGCCCCACAATAGATATATGTCGTCAAGTTCAGTCCAATCTTATGGATCTAACGACGATATGGGGCTTCCAGAGCGAGATGGTAAATTACCAATAGAAAATGCGGACTATGCTATCTCGATGACTGGCTTGCCTAGGCTTGAAAATGCCGTGCTCTATAGGGTACGTCTTTAATTGTATTCAAAAACTTTAAAAAAAAAACAACTATATTTGCCTTGAACTTTGTAATTGCTACACGTATGTGAAGTAATCGTGGCGGAAAAAGCGAAGTAGTGTAATATCTATTGGAGGCAAAAAAGACTGTGCCATGGACAACCGAATAGCTACACCTCTTATGTCTTTGATATGAGAGCTCCGACAGATATTTGTATCAAGAGTAGTTAAGATTAATTATAATAATAATCTATGTATCACTAGCAGAAAAAAAGTATAACGAACAACAACCGATGTTAATTAGCGATCAAACAAGAAATGAGTGTTGAACTTTTGTACGTTTGTTTTTACGCGTTGCGATCCAACAACGTCGACGAGTTGATACAACCAAATTGGGAAAAATAATAACGAGCAATAATACAAAATTACAGTCGACAACTGGGCCTGTGCAGCGAGCAGATCGTAAGTTAGTAATTTCAAACATCAAGCCCAGTACTTCGTTAACACTACAAAGGTCTGTAGAGGAAAATACCCCAGACGCGGCGTTGCAGATAGCCCAGGTCGAGCCTGCTACAGTTGAGCCATTTGGTAAGTCACAGAAAACAGGCATTTAAGTGAAACAGACTGTAAGGCAAAGTTGTTCAAGGCAAGAAAACCTTTCTTCCAAATCCTGGAAATTACTTTTTTTTTTTTTTAGATATTGAGGGTGTATCTCGTTAAAAGTCTAAACCCGTTGGACTTATCAGGTAAACCTCACTGAGCTATTAACCTTAATAATAGCGCTCCAGTTCATTTAATTTCTTACCTTTCTTATTTTTTTATTTTTTGACTATTTATGTCTGGTTGTGATTTTTACCAACACTGAGATTTGAGCCGGCGAGGCTGCATGTTCATTAGCTAGCGGTTACCGTAGCAACGCGCTACAGACCGACCCCATAAGGCACCGAAAAGGTATAACGTCTAATTTCGACAAGTATTATCATATCTATATGAGGTTACGATGCCGCATCAACTGGAGGCTGCATTCGCTAGTATTTTAAAGACACGCGTCTAGCTCATATAATGAAATGACCTGATAAAGCGGTAAGAAGTGTAAGGTCTATGTGCCTTGGTATTTGTAATATATTAAATTCAGGTCTTTTGCAGAGAAAACTTCGTGTGCTACTGAATCCAAAAAATACCTGGCTTAGGTTGACAAAAGGCCGGCAAAGGCCTGGTCATAATCAGGCTTGTGGTGCGGCACTTACCTGTCCATCTGTTAATCACGGATCAAACTTCAGAGCATTCACACGTACGCTTTCTATTTGGCAAGAACTTCAAAGTAGGTGGTTGTCGTCGGCGTTTCTTTTTTTAGAAAACGAATATGGAGTACCGAATAAGGTGCATCGTATTCTTTGTTAAGTGCTTGTGTAGTGGCAACGCTACAGAAGGCTTTTGAAGACAGCGAGTACAGAAGAAGACGCGAAAAAGTATACATCATGCTGAAGAATCGTCGTGTCTCTATTCCTTACAAAACTCGCTATAGAAATTGCCAACTCGCATGATCCATGACAGCCTATCTTAAAAGATTACTTGAAGAAGGAAGCGTTCACAGCGAAAGCTGTGCCAAAGGATCTAGATTTCAAAACACCCCTCAACAATGATCTCAAAGAAACCCTAACGTAGGTAAAGAAAAGTCGGATTTACTACCTGTCATTACAGGTAGTCAGATGTGAGTGAACGGGTATGAGCTGGAAAAGAAAAGCATAATCGCCAACTATGGTCTTTTAGGTGAGTTCACCCGAAGAAAGTAGTAAGATCCACGTGTGAAACGAAGCTCCTGTCCAAAGTCATTTTTAAACAGGCGGTTCTAGCATTACTAAAAAAAAAAAAACAAAAAAAAAATTACCAAGGAGCTTTAAGATTGCGTGATAGTACTGTACATTAAAAATAAGCGGAGAAAACGTTATCGGCTGGAAAATCCGGTGGCACATACGCTTTGAGTCCGGTGAAAATTTCTTTGAGATCATTTGGAAAATTAACACATCTACCGTTTGATAAAGCCATGAAAAATTCCGATTTGGCTGGCAGATGACTGGCTATGTTCGTCCAATGATCAAGTTGAGTCATATAATCCTAAAGTCATAGCAGCGTAGAGACATATAAGCCCGACATAAAATATGACTGGCCCATCGCTGGCCACAGAAACTTTTTAGTTTATTATTGAATTGTTACCACTTGGGTAAACGGTTCTCATTTGAGCCATAATCAATACCCACAATCACATTATCTATATATAATCTCCTTACTAGACACTAGATCTATCAATATTTTTTGCACCATGTTTCGAAATTAAGCAATTTTTTATGATTTTTTCGATAGAGAATATCACTGCGTTAAGATATAGAAATGTTGTTCGACCATTGATTCAATTGAACCCATACAAAAATGCCTGATCGAATTAACACCTTATTAGTCACGGGCAACAAATGGAACAACATTACCCACCGCGTAATAATGGTATGTTGAACAAAAAAAACAAAAGTTTTATAAAATACGAATTATTTGTAAATGAGGACGATCAAACAAAAATGATCTTGCTCGATTTTACTTTCTTATACTTACGATATAGCTTGCGCTCTACGATAATTTTAAATTCTGTGAAATCTATTCGGTGTTCATTATTCTAAAGGGAAATACACGGCTAAACGACTGCTTGTTTATTACAGTTCACTATCAAAATAATAATTAAACCTTGTCAACGAAGACACATATGAGTTTAATGAAGATTCAATTGTTTTGACCTTGTCTGCCTTAGAAATCTAAGTACTTACCGAAAGTCATAATTTTCACAATAAGACCATTTCGTTTAATGGCGATTTAGGTTCAGATGATGATGTTACCCTACCAATTCTTTCAAACGGATTTTATGACGCTGCCAATTATCCGCTGCCTCGCCGCGAAAACTTTTACACCACCGAAGGCCTTCCACTGCCCAAAACAGACTTAGCAACGGGTGCAGGGCTCAACAACGAGGTAAGTCTATCGCTTTCAATAAAGGCCAACGATCATGACTGCGCAAAAATTTATTATTTGTCTATTATTTTTGAAGGGAGCAAAATTTTGTTGCAGTGTTCCGCGGGAGGTGCACATCGTAGTCGGGGTTTTCACTTTTAGGTGATGGCGTGAAAATTTTCCCGGCGGCACCTATCCACTGCCTGATCCACTGACTCATCTCTGAACCCATTGTTGTCCTGCATTTCAGGCTATAGTACCTGACAGACGAACCATAACGCCTTTCGTATCAAAATCAGTTGAAGAAAGCAATACGTTACCGCCTACTGAAGTGGCTTTCGATGAACGGATAGAAGAAGGCAAACAATGGTCTCGGTACCAAGACAGGCCAATAAGAGAACCCGACGAAGCGAGACTCGGTCTGATTGAATCTGTCGTCGAAGCTAGTCCTCAGAACAAAGTTCTTCTTCGGGGTGCAGCTCCAAACAGTTGGCCACAGGAGTATTCCAGTACTGTTGCCCCAGACACGGATTCCAGAAGGGAATCAGCTGAAGAGTTCCTAGAGTATGACTTAGATGGAGAAGGTAAAAATAGTACGCCACAAAATAACGACAAGGCAAAAATTGTCATCGAGCAGTCCGTTCACCTTCCAGCAGTCAAAATGTTTGACGTGATTATCCCGCCCGTACAGACTGTCTCATCACTGAGGCAAAGCGGAGTTACAGTCTCTTCCGGAAAACCAGTGCCTCGTCAACATTGGCAGTCTGCCAAGAACGAAATTTTGCGTCACCTTAGCGAACTCGACGAGCATGTACGATTAGGACAAGCTAACATAACTGGTGAAACTTCACGTCTTGCTGCACACATGCTACGGAGGCACCTAGCCAATATGTCAGATACGTTACAGAATTCTGCTATTCCGCCAAGGCTCCACACGGACAACGAACGACAAAAACAATTTGATACAATCTATAGCAACCTCTCCCTCAGCATTCAAGGCTTGAATCTAACGTCCAATGACGCTGAACGCGCCGAGCGTCTCGTCGCCAGTGCTCGAGCTTCGATTCAGCTTGCTCGAGAGCTCATCTTAATCTTGGCCGACGGTTCCAACGACGCTGAATCTAGGATCGTAATTGAGCAAATTTTATCTTATGCACGTTTGATGTTACTTGAAGTCATTAACAGCATACGCGCGTCTTCGGATAAGTCCGCACTAGGTTTAGGACACGCCGATCTCCTTAGTTGGGAGTGGCTCCTTGGTCGAACATCCCGACGTCAATACGTGTTCTCTCGTGTATTTTCAGCAAAACCACACATTTTCGACGCGCAAATTTACCGCTCCGCGAATCAGTAACATCACAGACGCTATAGGCAGCGTACTAGGCATGATATGATTACTTGGTCAGGGGCCAGACAATCCTATAGACGTTACCATGTTACTGCTAATTTAAGACAACTACGAAATCATTCGAGATGGACGCAGAATTAGCACGAAAGATGTTATGGCGCTGTATAGAGAAAATACGTAAATGAATACCTGAAGCTGTTATATATTAGATGATAGAAAAGCTTTCATAGCGGCGACTGGATAGATTGACGATTAATAAACACATATATTTCGTCAATTACATGTTGCTCAAGTAAATCCGGATCATTCATTCTAGATAAGGTTGGCGCCGTTCAACTAGATCGGCGCTAACGAATTTCGGCAGGGAAGTTGTGTAGCCAAAATTTCATCAGTCTGTGTTCAGACATGGGGGCCTTAAATCTAAATTAGCAAGATATTGGAGTGTGTGTTACAATATATGCACATATGAGACAGAGAGCGGGAAGGGAGGGGGGCGGCAAATTAGAGTATGTATTTGCCGCAAAACTCAACCTGGTTGTGTGTTTTCCTTCTTCGAATTTACTAAAAGTATGTCTGGGACGACCTATTTTCAATGAATGGCACTTAAATTATCCGGAGCATGTACCACGCGAAAACTTTTCTATAGATAAAAATCAGATGAATGTCAGGTGGCTAGGAGGTGGGAGCTACGAAACTCTTAAGGTTTTTAGATCTAATTCATATGAAACTACATTCCTGTCGGCTGTCAGCTGGTCACGCGCGGATGTCGTGAGTAACCGCACTTCACCGCCATCGGACCAATATTAATAGATAATTTCCGTCAATGATGATAGAAGTAAGATTCTCAGTTCCTCTTCATTTGGATGCTGAAGGCAAACCATTTTACGCCACTAAGTATAGGTGTGATTATAATATATATGTGATTATAATATCTGCACAGATCGTAGATCAGGGGGACCTGAATTTGGCCTATTTGAGAACAATTTTATTCTGCTGCGATGGTCTTATGCCGCTCAGCTTAATTAGAGAAATATTAGAAGCATCTTTGATCGCATTTTATATGCTGCTATATTTATCGCAAGAAGATCTAAAATCGGCAGAAGCTACTGACGCGTATGATCTAGAATAATCGTTTTCTTCACAGCAAAATATAGTTTCAAAGGGGCATCGTTACCCTCGGGCTGTAGCCATGAGTGTGGCAAATGTTCCGAGCGCTGTATGACTCAGAACAAATGACTGTTTTAAATCAGCTGCGATACAGCCGATTAAACTTACGTCTATTTGCCCAAAAATAAATTGGACATTTTTCAAACTACTTACGCGAGTTATATAACGTTGTCCTGTTTCCTCGGTAACGTTTGTAAGGAGCGTTGTTGCGCGGCCTCGTTAATTTAGGCACAGGCCTCATTTCTGCAGTCCTGTGCCGACGTTGCATTAAACACACAAACGACGATTACGATAATTTAGCAAATAGATGTTGGTACAAGAAACTTGAAAGGCTAGCCATAGAATTACAAAATACGTGACACTGGAGAAACTCAGCCGCAGTGTGATCGAATTTTATCGCAGTGTATTTCTATTTTTGTAAATACGCTATGTTTATTTGATAAGTCAAAACAATAATCCATGTTACATGTAAACCTTAAACTTTGAAGAGTTTTTGTTCCACTTCTTTAAATGAGCGGCGCTATTTAGGTTTGTATTTTCTAGGCTAAGGTTACCACGTAAGGTAAACAAAAGTAAGGTTAACGCATTTTATCTAAGTCATTCCTGTTTTATTCTTGAGTAAAACTCAACTCGAATGTAGTCTATGGCGTATTATTCATGCTGATTTGATCGATTTCTGTGCAGTTATGGTTGCTTTTGCCTTATAAACTACGTAAATTCATAGAATAGTATTACTGGCTTTCTTAAATTGGTGATGTTTTTAAAAATAGTATATCCCAAACAGTTGTAGATTTCAGCTGACTTTCCCTACGACCATTTAGCCAGGTGCCTGAATCAAAAGATGTATGGCCAACTTAGCAGAGCTCGTCAAGCAAAACATCATCTGCGCTACTGCTTCTTGGATAGCCGACGGTACTGTTGAGTCGACAAACGACTTTGCACTCAAATCGAAGAAGAGTCGCGGTGTACAGGTTCGAAGAAATCCTAAAAAACACCCGCTTCAACGGCAATATGATATTACCTTCCGTAGCTGATTTACATCCGCCATTTCCTAGTTAAAAGATCGTATCACAATAGTCGTGCTGGCGTCACTAGCTAATGACGTAACATTGAGCGACATCTAGGTGGCAGCAGTCTGGATCGTTTACCTACGATGCCGAACGTACAACTCGGAACATAGTCGGCAATATCGAACCAACAAGATTTCCAGTCGTATAGGTGAAAAAATAACCACTGCGGTTTCGCAAAGTGTGATGAGGGAGCGAGTGTTATCGGTGATTGCCTTAATAGGTTTGGAAAAGCCGCTATGTTGTGTCCGAGTGGATGCTCACGAGCTGGCTGTTTATAGCCTGAAATATCCAAAAGCTCGTCCAGAGGTACGATGAGAAGGGCCACAGAATGGCTACCTTCTTGCGAGACAGTCACACCGCACCGGCACACCGTTACTAAATACTGTCCGCCGGATTGAAACGATACTCGACGCGTCCGGGAAGAGACAGATCAGTCGCACGTCAAAGGAAAACTTTATTTAAGATCGGTTCTTGTCAGCCAAGCACGGCTAAAGGTACGAACTGCTAAAGCCGAATCGGTAAGGCCGACAGGCCCAGGTTGATTTGTGCAACAACAGACTTTTTGGGTACAACTAACTCGACGATGGAAACAGTCAAGCTTATTGGCCATATAGAGGGCCATATAGATACAGTTCATCGTCTAACCATGCGTCCGTAGTAAATTCTGTCATATTGTTTCAACACACGGATATACCAAGATAAACCACTTCCGGCAACAGCCACTCCTCGTCTTTAGTCAAACACCAACTTCATGAGTTCGCCTTCAGTTAATCATAGTTCATCATATAATTCAGCGAATGTAACCATTTGGGAATGCATTTTCAAACGAAAATCAAGGACCCATTTCTGCCGTAGGCAATAACAGTCCTGCACCCTTAGCGATCAATACCTCGTTATATTTAAGCAGTGTTGCGTTCCCGAGCTTTACTGAATACTGCCTCAGGTGCGCTGAGGCAGTATTCGATAAAAACAAATCAGAAATTTCCTAATCAATAACGAACGGATTTTCTCATCCTGCAAATGACGGTATTTTCTCAAGCAGTCAAGGGAATAACGAATAATTCTAACATTCAGTGATTCGATGGACTACGTAGACAGTGGTCAGCACCATTGAGAAAATAAACCGATATATTGTGCAGTTAAGAGCAGGCCAGTAAATCGTATTCAGACATTCTCTATCCTATGCATAGGTATCGGGAAAGTTTAATATAGACATACATGGGAAGCGCAAGTGATAAAACCCGATCGAGGCAATGGGCAATCCGTGTTGACCTGTGCTAAATGCCTGATCTGATCAAGAGCTGTACTACGGAGTAATAATGTACACTTCCTATAACTGAAGCATGTTTGATCGATCTGTCGGGCAGGTGCTGTTACTTAACGCTAATTACCACAACTAGTTTTTCCGACGCACAGAACGACGCACTTCCGTTAGACATCTATGTATGTATCCTGGTACGTTATTAAAAGTTTATATATTTTACGTCCAGTATCGCCGTTAGACATTGCGTTAGCCTGTCTACGCCCTATGGGTTCGAAACTAGACCACAACACGTCCCTAAGGTTAGCGGGCAAATACGTCACCCACTGAACTATCACCATTAACAAGCTATAGTATCTGTAGACGACATATAATAACACTTTGATGCGCCTGCCGTAAGTCAATTCTGTAGGTGTCTTAATCGATTTAAAGGCTATACGGATGTTAAGTATGCTATGTTTTTCATCCAGCCGATACAATATCGAATGCAATATATAAAAGCAGAAACATTTATTAATATGAGAAGATCGTCTTATGCTGAGGAACGAGTCACTGGGGCGAAGAGTTAATTTCTACAACAAAACAATGCCTTGTGTTTGAATAAAACTTCGGAAGAAAAAAGTTTTAATCAAATAGAGACAATGGCCATGGCAGTTTCCGCTCAGAACATCATAGCACAACTTACCCCATTTATTGTTATTATTAATCAGCTTCACTGTTCGACATATTGAAGGCTGAGCATTTACATGTGTGAAGTGGGACGTTTCATATTGTGAGCGCAAGCACCAGTATTCATACACGAGCTCAGGCTAAAAACCCTCTCAGTAACGTATTTATTTATTATTTCCATTACTAATCCATAAGCAAGTCAAGTATATAGGTTGATTAGAAGAAAAATTTACTAATCCAAATAACATTAGTCATAGTTCGGTGGTAAGTTGCTAAGCAAGTTCACTCAGCTGCAACACACTTATGGAACGTTAATAATGCTACTTAACGTAATCTTGGCAGTTTAAATTTCGTATCTAAATCTGTTCGATTTTGTCATTTAAACATAACTGTTTTTATCATGACACACTATAATTGGTCATGTTCTGTGTACTAATGCATTCGGCGGTCTTGTTAATGCCGTAGATAAGCCGCAGTCAAACTGTAAGGTGGGAGAGATTCACGCTAACCGCGGGTCGTGGGGCACAGGGAAAATCTAATAGTTCTTGCGTCAAATCCCACAGGCAACTTCGAAGGGTCTCATTATTGACAACAACGTAAAATCTCGTTCGATCGAGTTCGTCGCAGACACATTGGTCGGACACGCTATACTGTAGATTCGTTCTTCTTCGTACCATATAAAATGGTAGCTTCGGAAGACACTATTTACATACAGTAAATGAAGACCACGTCCTCAGTCGCTTCAAAAAAAAAGCAGATTTCATCCGATTCTGTCTTACCGACAAAAGTTGTAGACGATGGAAGGGGGCTGATGTTGCGAGAGAACAAGCAAAACAGTTTACGTTTAGAGTGGCGTTTCTGACCAGTTTTAATCAGATTACCAAGATCCACCATATCTCAGCGTATCAAGTCCTTTTTTTATCATATCTGTATTTTCTATATTTAACGACTAAAGAGACATTACGATAGTGAATCCTTGATTAGCTAGCTAGTCCATGATAAATAGGGAATTGTACCGTTCATCTGTGGACATGTTGCTATAGAAGAGCATATGGAAGCCACAATTATTCTTAATGAGTAGAGTTGTTATCAATCCAAAACAAATGGTTTCATTTATTTTGGGTGGAGTTTCAGTTGCAAAAATATTGAAGACTAATTTTTTAGTAATATTTTTAAAGGTAAATCGAACATTTTTCCTCAGCATCCCTTTAGGGTTGAAGGGGATGCTTCGTCGATATTCTGATTATGCAAATATTTAAGGTAAGCGGAACATGGCAATTTGGGATCGATTATATCAACTTTAAGTTTATCTTTACTTTTTTTTTCTATTTCACAAGAAACTAATATCCAAGCGAGTACTTCCATGGATGGAACCAAAAATCATTCGAAAATGGCGCGGTGGCCAATTACGCGGAATATTGAACCCGCAACTTCAGGCGCGAAATTCAATCACCAGTTGACAGCCAGCAGTTTTATACAATTATTATACGATTCGTCAATAAGGATCCAGCGAGCAGAACGCGAATATTAGAAATCACTGGTAAAACTGTATGTTTTTTTTTATTTTACGACAGTGTAGTGAGATGAAAAAGACTTTTAAAATCATCGCACCTACGTACGTACCCGTTGTATTATTATTTCTCTGTGCTATGGGCAACCGGCCTTCAGCGAGGATACCAGCGCTGAGAAGCCTCAGGCCAATGCAAACATATAATAGACAGCGCGAGTAGAGGAAATGAGATAGATATAAGTTAAGGAAGCTCTAATTTTATAGAGAACGGCAAATAAAGGTAAAATATCTGATGTTAATTTTTATGTTTAACGCAATCTTCTCTCTTTTTTGTCAATCTCTTCACTATAAGCGTCGCCAACCGTTGACGAATGGCCGACACTACTATATGTTAGTTTTAACGACGGTATAATTTTGCGCCTGCATGAGTTTATAGATGCAATAAAGTTAAATTGTTTCTAGGTTCCGACTTTCTCAACTAAGAACCTTTCAAAGCTTATACATACACCGTTTATCTAAATACTCCTATAGAAGACGATTCAATGCACGTTCGATCTAGTGACAACGCCGGCCAAAGTAACTAACTTCGTTAGCAGATACAAACATGTGGACGATAATGTAAGCCCTGGGCCTGTGACGGCCACATAGCATATATCTCTAGATATATAAATGAGTTTTCCGGCTGTAATGATTACTTAAGTAAATACTTTGGAATAAAAGATGATTCTTACATGTCCAGAAAGCTTATTGATTGTTACAGGTGCATCTCTAAGCGCCCAATGGGCAAATTCTTGCAAGTTCATGAACGAGTCCCTTGTCTCCGCAGTTTAATAAATTTTCGGTTTCGTCTATGAGGTGCTTCTGAAGAACACTTTCTAGTTGAACGAAGGTTTCTAGAAATATACAGAAGCTCATTCAGGTTGAGCTTTATCAGTCAGTAGAGGCGACAGTCATAGTCACATTTTTTGATACATCGAATTCATGCCTGCTATCAACGTTTACAGATGCTAATCACAAATGGGACCGGTATCATGTTAAAATTTAACGACGGGAATCTCGGTCCTTTATTCTTCAGTGCTGCAGCCCAGCTCTCAAAAATTTCATCATAAACGAGGGCTTATAATGTAGCTGTAGGTTCGTGACGAATGCCCGCTTGCCATATAACCCATAATGTTCGGAGTGTTCGAGAAGTGGCCTTCAAGCTGTGTTAACTTCGAACAGAGTACTGATTACGGTGATCATGTGTTTCGATGTTGTTCCGCCCAGCCTAACTTCAAATACTTTATCCGGGCCGCAGTGTTGAGATACTGCGGCTCTTATAAAGTCGATTCTGTTTTACGTAAATGTAGTAAACTCACCTCGGCTATCAACGCTTAGATATAAGCAGTTACCTTACGAAGCTGTGGTCAATCGATTGCAGTGGCTACCCTTGTTTCATCGTATTTGATGATGAGCACAAGAAAGTATCCATACAAACCTGTGTGAATAAAGACTTATTCGCTGGAGATAGTCCCAACATGAACAGGGACAGAACTTTTGCAAAGCTAAATGCTCATATAGAACGGTACATGTTACCTTGCATACATAGATCGTTTATGTTCTGTAGCAGCTAGCCACTTCACTGACACTGAAGCCGGTCAATCGTGCCAGTCAATTTTAGAGACGTCCTGATGGAAAGATTCACTCCCATAAATTTTGGGTTGCGATATCATCGCTGTCCTCGCCTTAACCTGATTCACAATGGGTTTTGCAAATATACTTACGTAACAATCATGCTCGGGTCCCCATCACAACAACTCCATCAGTTTTCTGAGTCTGATTGATAAAAATTTACCATTATGCCAGTTTGTCTGGCTATGGTTTTCAGTCAAATACAGCTGTGATTCTTTCAAGCCATTAAATATATATTTCAAGGGTGCCGTCTGATACTTGATTTAGGCATAACTTCAGCGTAACTACTTGACGCTCGTCGCCCGCTATGCAGTAAGCCCAGATCTTCAAATTAGCTTCTTCTCCTGTCATCGTCATTTTTGCTGTCCTTAGAAAAAATGCTGCGGCTGGCGCAGGCAATATCGCTCTAAAAAGCGTTAAATAGACAAGCCTCTGATCAAAGCCCCACAATCGGATACCTACAGTAGAAAAGATAACAATGTCGGAGACTGACAAAAGTGAGAATATGAGCTCCAGCGAATTAAAAGAGATGAGCCATGGAGATAAAGATGGTCTAAACGAAAAAGGACACGCTAAGGCCGAAGCAGAGCATGAGCACGTTGGAAGTAAAAAACGGGTGAAGACGGGACGCATCGCCAAGGCCAGGGTAAAGGGCGCCAAAAGGAGAACGCAAAAGACGGGTAAAGGTTCAGCTGTAAGGAGCAAGGCCAGATATGGCGAAACCAAAAGGAAAGCCCCTAGGGGCAGGGCTACAGCAGCTAAACGACGTAGCAAGAAGGGGGTTGCTAAAATGGCCAACGGCAAACAATCGAAAATGGGTGCAGTTAGAGGTATCTCGAGAAATGAAATTCGCCGTTTAGCTGAAAAGGCTGGCGTGAAGCGCGCGTCATCAGCGGTCGCTGAAGAAGGTCGAAAAGCTCTTAAGGCCTACCTAATGGATGTTGTCCGTGATACGGTGGCAAAGGCCGGTGAATCGAAGAGAAACACGATACAAGCAGAAGATGTAACGGACGTTATTCAGCAGAGAAATACTGCTAAGGCCTAAAGAGTTCATAGCTACCAAATTTTATCAAGGTTTTTCATTTAACAATAATAAGACTAGCGGAGTCATTTGCGGTCGACTTGTTGATAAATGCAAGTTAGAGTGAATTTGACTGATAAATGCAAGTTAGAGTGAATTTGACGGATAATTTGTTAATTACCATTGGTTTACCATGCTTCTGATACGAAAGAAATCAACGGATAATTTGTTAATTACTATTGGTAATTACCGTGCTTCTGATACGAAAGAAATCAAGGGAAAAAGTGCGCAGGTCTGCCACTGGGTGAGACACAGTAAGGAATTCTTTTATAGAGTGGGGTGATGAGGGATAATGAGTTGTCTTTTTGTCCTATCGGCTAAAAAGTATGAAATTTTCCCACTGGGTGAGGCACAGTAAGGAATTTATATATATAGAGTGGGGTAATGAGGGATAATGAGTGTGTTTTTGTCCTATGCGTGCGGGCAGTATTGTCTTACTTAATAGAAATTAACATACGTTTCACAAGAAAGTTTACTCTGCAGCACAATATCAAGCGACGACCCCCTGTAACGCACAACTATTTAAATTTTTAACTTTAAACTTTGGTGAAATGGGTCACAGCCCCTTGCTATAGTGCCCCATTGAGTAACCATGAGGGCAAAGCGCTTGCCAAAAGTAATTGAGTAGCTACGTTATTATCATAAAAGACATTTTCGTGCTGTTGCCCCCCCAGTGCCAGACGTCCGGAGCCTACTTCCATGTGCAACGTATTACGCATTAAACGATCTTTGCTAGATGGATCAAATCAATTACACAAGTCGTCGCGAAAAGAAATAAAATTAAAAATATTACACTTTTTATCACATTTATTTAAGAATATAGAAATATTAGAAGCATTTTGAACAAAGTCGTACTTTTCAATATTCGTATTCGTGGCTGATCATCAGGATACCAACGTCCACAGCGCGTATCATTTTTTTCATTTCATCACAGCATTTCGAAATATTTCAATACTATGGACATTCCCATCGTTTTTATATAGTTTTTCTTCTTAAATATTCAGAAATTACTATCCTCTATTGCACTGATATTTTTATGCTATACCCTACATAATGGCTTTTTATGCGCCACACGCCACCTTTGTATAAAAATAGGTGCTCATTCATTATTTATTTGCCGTCACGTAAATTTCATAAATCAGTATCTACCGACCGGACTAGGGGGGGGGGGTGTCGTCAGGTTGCTATTACACCTATTTACCTAGAAATGCATGTATAGGATACGTATTGATTTACTTCATTTAGAGAAAGGACGAATGGATACATAAATAATGATTTGCACAATATAAATCACTAAAAAATTATCTTCAACTTTGGGGTTTATAGAAAACCTTTCAGTAACTTGCAATTACCGAAAGTTGTACATACTTAAAAGGATATCTTAACAGATAATTCACAAGATATGCATATCTAATATCAAGAGCATATATATATATATATATATATATATCCTCTACTGTATGTCACTAAGTACGATGATCAGGGAAAGCTACGGTTTTTTTTTTTTTTTTTTTTTTTTTTTGATTAGAGAACGTATGCTTAGCTAATAGTATTGCTCCTCTCCGGCTATGAGTCAGGTGCCCCTTTTTTTTACAAAGTATTCTTTTGTATTTTGTGCAATTACATTTCCATTAGATAGCTAATTAGCTATTCTGAAGTACCCCCTGATACATCAATCATGCGTTATCCTGTACGAATCCTATGACGAACTGCAGGAGTAGTTTGACAATAGCACACAATTGATTTGCTAGTAACGATTATGATTATGTCGATGTTTCTCAAGGTTCATGCACGAACAGCATCTTCTCATTCAAATTGGCGGCTGGTATAATTTTAAAATTATATGAAATCCGCTTAGACCTGAAGGATGAGTAGGAATTATCGAACCGTAACAGGTACTCGCCGGCCACGTCGCAACAAACAGTGAATACGACTGGGCCCTGAAACGAGGCAGCATTTTTCAGGTGGCATTATTTAGAAAACTTTCTATAATAACATTGCAACAGATTTATTTTGATAGTAATGATATATTATCTAGTATGTTACAGTATTGGGATACTTACAGTGTGTGAATCGTACCGCTTCATGGGAAGAATTTCACCAATATCATCTGAAACGTTTAAAATTGGGATAGTTTCGTATATTGTTGTTGTTTTTTGCTTTTTGAAGAAAATAGTGTACGACATTTATCCTTACAGGTTTATCTAGATAGTCTGCAGTTGATATACATGTTATTCACTAACCTTCTGAAGTACGGCACAACAGAGATAATGCTATGTCGTGTCCGTCAGATTCAAATTCGACGAAAAGGCCAGCGCCTGGCCCGGTGATTACGATCGAGACGTCGGTGTGAGAACGACGGGCCACAGTTATCTAAAAATAGAGCCGACGCAAAAATAGCAGCACATTAACAACGATATAGTTAAGCTGGTAATAACAAAGTAAATTTTCTTGTCAACCATACATAAGCGCAATGGTTAAATTATGTGTGTGTGTGTGTGTGTGTATATATAACCAATTAATTATATTGTAGCTTGCTTACATATGTTGCGTATAGAAAGTAGAGTTGAGGAACGGACAATCGTAACGGAAATATGAACTAAAAGCAGGAAGCTAGCAAGAAAAATGCACCCAACACGAAGAAAATTCCATAATATATATATAATATGCGTTTTTATCTGGCAAGGAAACGTTGATTCTACCTTTAAATGCTATGAAACTTCTAGAATCTCGGAAATACACAAGGGTTAGGAATTCAGTACAACTAGCAGTTGTGCGGGTTGTTTTTGATCACATTTGGAATGATGGGTCATATGGGAAGGAACACAGAGTATTTGGGTCGTGTGTTGTCGAACTTTAATCGAATTATAAACAAACAACGTAATCACTTTCGTTTTTTACCACACGCACGCATTCACACAGACAGACACGCTCGCAGCCGCCATAACACACACACACACACACACACACACACACACACACACACACACACACACAGCCACACGCGAGAGAGAGAGAGAGAGAGAGAGAGAGAGAGTTAAATTTTGAAAAGTAAATTGTTACGTTTTATGGAAGTCATTATATTGAACTCTAAAGCATGACAACCCCTTATATGTGGTTGCTTTTAGCGAATTTTCTGGCATACTGCATCGTCTGGACAAAATCATGTTGTCAACGCAAGTCATTCTCGAATAGCTATGGGTCAAATATTTACCACAGATAATTATAGTGGAATCGTTCATAAGCGCTGCGCGGTTATGCGTAAAAACAAGTTGTATACGAATTTTTGCTTCAGTATACAGTATTGTATATTTATGTGTCGATATTTATTTATTACTCCTTACCTGTCGCATTCGATCTTCTTCGGAAATTAGATTCTGCAATTCATGTATGATCTGAAATTGAAACAAATACTCAGCCACACCTTCATTTAAGCGTCGCACTTATTATGTAGCCGTTACAGAAGGTCCGCTTGAAAAAAATTCTACTTTCTTATTCTATTTACTTGTTTACAAATTAATTAACTAACGTCCTGCTATCAGTGAGACGAAGTCATAAGCTAACACACTAATACGTACTGTCTTATCAGCCATTCGATATGTATTCTACAATGCGTATCAAATGGGAAAGCTTTTGAGTAGAGATATTAGTCTTTTATCTTACCTCCTGGTTAAGCTTATGGACGTAGACGACTTCGTGTTCACAGTTTGGATCATTTCCTGGGCCCGTACGTGTACCACCGAATTTCACCGGCAATTCCTCTGGATTAGCAATTTCCAGAAGCGCAGCCATCCATTGTGCTCGGTCTATGATATATATATATATATATAATAGCGGAACATAAAATGTCTATTATGTGTTCAGTAAACGCGTTACTGAGCTGTTTCAAAAGATAAGCTAAGAGATACTTCATTCTTATTTGGTATTTTGGCGATTCCTTGCATGATAAATAACTGCAACTATTAAGAGGTGATTTACGAGTAAAAAAAAATATAATTTCAGGGCTCTGTTTGGTAACTTCAAAAAGTGAACACCAGATGCGCCGTCCTTGACCACTTACCTTTGCCATATATTTTTACTTTTTCCAGAGTTGGAGCGTTTAGGAGCGGCTTGATCATGTTGAAGAACAGATGAAAAATCGGCGGAGCTACAAAATCATAACTGATAACATGTTGGTGATTTATTGAATCCAACTTTGATCGCAGTCTTCGTTAGTACCACTAATGACTGCGTCTGCGTGGTACGTATTTTTTGCGAGCGATTGTGTTTGGTAATGGCAATTGACATGATGCATGCAGATTTACTAATATTTCGGTACTGCGTAAAGCATAGAAGACAGTTATACGATGGACATTAGTCGCGAAACGACGGGATTGTGTTATATTACATTAGTTACCATTAATAATAATCGCGTGGACGAGATACTCGGGATAGTTGCATTCGTAGGCTCCGACCAATTCCGTAAACACCGAGATCGCTGTTCAAAACAATAGCGATAGATAGATATATATATATTAGGCCTTTTGCTACAGAACAGGATCGTCCCTCTTCTCAAATGTCTGGCCTGTACAGTAAAAAAGTTCCGCGATAGAAGGCGTGACAGTCTTGCTGTCACGTGTCCTTAGCAGAGACTACATATAGCTACATCCTATCGAAATAGATAGACATAAATAGTCTTCTGAAATATATGACTTCGTAGACACTGATTTCAAAGGCAGTAAGTCAACGGTCAGTGTTCTCATACGCCTTTACTAGGGCTATTATTAAATATATGTCAAAGCTGTGAACGCCGACAACATACAGACTGCAGAGATGTTGGCCATAATATCGAATCCTTCGACGTCGAATATGAGTGTATGACCCTCAATAATACGCCCGAGCTGAAAAGTGGATAACGTTTGGAGTGTAATTATAACATCCATTGAGCGTCAGCTGATACAGCCCCAGGTCGGCATTGTAAATAGGCTTTTTCCGTCCACTAATGCTACCTATAACCAGCTAAGACTATATTCCATCGGCAGATTAGCGAGGCACTTCTGCAGTACGAAATATACTGTTCATCATTTAGTTATGTTTGGTAAAGCTGACAACTGTCAAATATCATTTCGCCCCAAACCGTGTCAACGGATTTTACCGATATTGTCTACGGTCATCATAGGCCCAGAGCCATCTCTTCTGTATAGAGTATGCTAATTTTATACATATCATTCAACGGGAGGACGAATGTCAAATTTCGACATTGATATTTCACGGGGCAGATACATTCCCACGTTATGATATAGTGGCCCCCGATTCGGTTATGGTCATCTTATAGCAGTTTTCTGATCTTTTCTATATGGGCTACGCAGGCTATAACCAAACGACTTGAAGCCGAGCTAGGCACATATTCGATCACCAACAATACGGAGTTTGGCCATGAAGGCTCTCTAGAAAATCAACACAGCAAATGAATTGCCAAGGTCAGAGGAAAAAGGTCCTACCTTTTTACCTTGCTCACGAAGTACGAGTAGTGATTCCTCCATTCGGTGCATCAGCATCTTAATCACTTGAGAACGTCGGGCAATTTGGAGAAAATCTGATAGAAGTTTGCGTAATCCCGGGATGAAAGAACAGAGACAATCGGAGGAGAATAGAACCCTTGCGTATAGGAACGAAGATGGCTCAAGAAATAAATTTGAGACCTTCTAACGACCTCTGTATTAGCATGATTTGTTTTCCGTATTCATATTGATAGTCGGAAATTGTTTGTTTATAAGCGAAACACTAAAAATACGACTTACTTGTAGGGATTACTTGAAAACTATGAGAAAAAAAATCCTAATGCTGCAGTATAAACGCCTTTGGCACCGGATTTCACAATGCTTTACCTACAAATCTTCATTCGGCAACAAGGCAAAATCTATATGAGATCTTGGTCTCTGCCCTTTGTTTTCGTTGAGGTACAACTGACAGGAATTAGAGCACGTACATTTGGGGAGGATGTTGGTAAGCGGATAGATCATGATGCAACCACCGTCTTTGCTAAATCCACATGTGCCTCCAGGGAAAATCGCTTTGATCCCCTGAAATGCGAGAACACACGGCAGCATATATATAAAAACCTGTCGTCATAGTCCATTGTCTGCAAAAAGAGCCGATTCATAGTCCGTTGGGGACTTCACCCTAGAAATAAGTTGAAGAACGGCATAAGACGTTCAGCCAAGACTTTGACCCTTTTATGTTGAAAATATAAATGATATCACTTTAGCATGGGTTACTTGCTTGGGCAGTACATGTAGAAGGCCTGTTGTTTCGTTTACCGTTTTAACGTTATATTGGAAAGGCCAAACTGTTTCATAACACGTTTTCAATATTTAGCGTCATTGATAAAATGCTAATGAAAATTATACTGTACTGCTTACTGGATTTGGTTTAAATTCTTCCAAAATGTGATCAAGCCTATACCGACGACGGAAGTCCACACTCTGAAATTCAATACGTTAAACCTATATGTAACAAATGCAATAATGATAATTTCACTTGAAAAAAAACATTATATATATATATATACCTTTAAGTTTTATTCCTTGCAGGCCAAATTGAGCTCTTCAATCCAATCTAACAGGACATCCTGCCCTAACAATCGATAACAAACCACCAATGGAGAATAGTCTTTTATAAACTAGTAGTTGTTACTCAGAAAACTACCGTACAAAAAGAAAATATAAACATTTGTTAATTATTCATAATCGGTATATTAGGGGCAACTGTGGTTTTTGGTACGGCTATTACCACGGATCGTACGGAGTTAGCTGAAACGAAATAATGAAACCCCATTGATTTTACGTAATATTGAAGGTCAAGATAGATTGCTTCGATCATTGAGGTATCATTCATATTTTCAGCCCGTCTATTCCATTTGGATGCTGCTTAGTTTCCAGATACCATATATATATATTTTCTGCTTAATATCCCAGTCAGGCGTTAGGATTAATCTCAGCAAGGAATAAAGCAAACTATTGGGTATTAACGAGGAAAGAAATGCATAGTTAGTCAAAACATGTTAAAGACAAACACTCTCACGAAGTATCTTAGAACGAGCCGTCAATGAAGACGTAATGGCGTATCGCGCGCAACTGCTCAACAACTGCAGATTGTAAGGATTTGAGTAATTCTCCACTTTGCAACATTGTATGAGACTGTTATTCGAAGCCTGAACACGAGGTGTCCGCTGTACGAATGGTTAGAGTTTACGGCGAGAAACACTATCAACGCCACTAATACGCAACGCATCATAACGCTACAATGGCGTAAGCTGAGTTGAAATTTTGTTTGTCTAAAAGTATGAGTGTCATTTCAAATTTTTAGCACAATGCCCTGAACTATGTACCCCTTATTCTTTTTTTGTCTTCTACAAGGTCTTCCTCTTTCTAATCAAAGACACTCTTGCCACCAGCGTCTAATTTCCTTATAGTTTTTTTTTCCCTTCGAGGAGTTATCTATTTACAGCCTAACTGCGGGTAAGTGTGTCAAGCGACGCCCAGGAGCTATAACGTTAATAACTCGTCTTTTACTATCAGTATGTAATAGTGGCTATTACGTGTTTTGTAACAATCGCTGACAAAGAAATCTAATTACGTATTGACGCATAACTACAACAATATGTGGCAGAATACGCAATATGCCTAACTGATGATGAGCCCCAATCGAAAAGGCGATTTTTCGTACTCGTAAGCCTACCACCTGTAGGCGTGACGGAGCGGAACAATTTTAGATCGTCACTATACGTAGTCATGCACGACATTTTTGCCTAAACGCAACTGGAGCCCGAGATATGTTGCATGACAACAGAATATATGAGGGAAATTGAAAGATAGCCAGGATTGGTAGGAGATTCCAAAGCGGCAATAAATCTGATTGTCACCAAGCGATGATACGTTTTCTGAAAGACATCGGCCGCATAGAACACATGTAGCCAGCAGCTGACAATACTTGCTACCCATTTTCAGGATGGCCTTGGAAAACGGGCATTAGGGTACTCGTATCCAGAGAGAGAGAGAGAGAGAGAGAGAGAGAGAGAGAGACGTAGCAGCATCTCAGACGAAATGACGTACAGAATACTTATATAATACAAAATACTTATAACAATAATAAATAATAGCGAAATAGTTCGCTTTTAATCTGTTTCTATCGTTTGGTGGCTATGTACAATATCTGGTCGATAAGAAAAGGCCCACCGTTAATTATACGGGTGACTTTAGCGGCCCTGTCGCAGCTGTCGAAATCGCCGAGATAGCGTTTGGTTAATAGCAAGTGTATCTATTAGGTGACCAGGGAGTGAATCTTGGATCACTACCGTATACGCTGCCTGCGTGTAACGTATGCGGAGCATTGGAAGGGCAGGCTTCAAGAACGGTCCGTACTTATTCCTTATGCGTGCGCTAAACATTCCTAGCGATTTCCCTACTCGGGTTTGTTAGAGAACGCCCTTAATAATTATTAAGCGTTAAGCGCTCCGTGGTGAGAAAAAAATCTATACTGGTCCAACAAATGAGTCTTCGCCTTCGTTTTTGATTTAACAAAAAGGCTCGATAGGGAACGAAGGCAGCGCACGCTCCTGTATACTTTCACTGACTTACTCAGACCTAATTTTGCTTCTGACCTGCAGGATTTTATTAGTCACTGTAATATGTGCAATTACAAACTCAAATAACGTTCTAAATAAAACTTACCTTTTCAAGCATATTTTTAGATGCCTCAACATTAAAGTTTCTAGCTGAAAGAACACAATAGATATTTGATTAATTTTTTCGTTAGTGTTCTATATTCTACAACTTGGTAATTAATATATCTAAAAATAATATCATATACATTTATATCACTATATAGCCGCGTTGATTTACTCGTATATATATATATATATATTTCTTTTGTTTATGGTTACTAACAAACGTCACCTTCGGAGTTACTCAATTAGATCTCAGATCTGTTGTTGATGACAGGCCTCTGAATCAGAGCAATTCGGCAGCTTCATCCGACGATTCTTTTTTCTAGATAGCTACTTACTGTACTGAAGGAGAGATTGTTTTGATTGTACAATGGGGGGTATTCGACTTCGAGGTTTATCTAGCTATCCACTTGTGCATTGAACACGCCATATTGTGCAAGCATGCACACGTCTACTCAGAGTGCGTATAATCCATCGATGTTTCACCCATAACGATCAGCTGAACCCCAGCGTCTCTTCTAAGCTTATTTTTATAGAAAAAACATAATTCTGAATAGCATTCCACATATGGACGTGACTCATGTTGCTACATGAAAACAAAGCATAGCCCTCATTTTTGGTGGTTCTTCAGAATGTTCCGAGTGAAAAATGGATGTCACGTATTCGCGGAACGTTCAGTTGGTCAGATACCTAAAAAGTCAATCGTATTGAACGCTTTGCTTTATTTCTGCGGTTGTTGACGATTACCTCGAAGCCACCGAAGACAATAATGGTCGTCATGCCAGTCCTGCGTCAAGAGGCTTGAGCACACGCGCTTGAACTGAAGTAACAAAAGCAATAAACACTGTCAACAAAGAGAGATATACTAGAAATATTTCTATACTAGAATATATCTATATACGCCATTTACTGAATCACAAGTAGCTGGCCCTGGAAACAATCTAGCTATCGAGGGAGACAAATATCTACTGCTAAGTTTGCGTGAATAAGTGATAACTTACGCCTTTTGGGGCCGAAGGCAAAAGGCCTAAATCTACAACTATCAATACATACATTTCTAACAGACTGTACAGTGGGCACTTTCAAATCGAAGCGGGAATTTTTACAATTAGAAACGAAGTGTCGATAACAATCTCTACAGAAAACGGATAAAGAAGAACTTCAGAGATAGGCGTTACTATAGGTCAAAGTACTATTTTCGTTTTACTTTACTGCAATGGTAGATTTTTTTATTGTTATTAAAATTAAAGTATTAAAACCTGATCCCGATTTCTGTCCGTGGGTGAGTTTATAGGCCGTTTTACAGCGCATCTTTTTTAGCCTAAAAAGTGTTTCGCGTCTTTGCTTTCTTTCTTGACAACTCTCCGAATTGGGTCTTTCACGTTTCTCGCACAGGTCGATGCTCCACGAACCTTACCCCTAGATAAAAACTCGTTTCCGTCTATGTAAAATCCGTCCATAAGAAGACCCGCGAAGATAACGGCATTTCGTGCGCCCAAAAACCCCTTTGTCTCATATCAAGCATACATGACAAACTTAATTCAAACGTCGTTCTATTATAAGAAAATAACCTAAGGCCTTCTCAGTAGCTTTAATCCTATTATATACTCAACGAAGGCCTAAACAGGGATCTATAAAGTTCTTGATTTTTTTGGCACATCGAAGCGATAGTTTGACGTTTATAACTGCTAATCTTTATTGCCTACGTGTAGAGCAGAAAATAGGCGTTCGTATTTAGCGTATACAAAACGTTAGTCATTCTCGATTTATAGCCCAAGCAAGAGGTATTTCTATTTCTACATTTTCGACTCTGTGCAATTTACTTTTGGAAATCGATGTCAGCTACACCCTGTTCCGCAGCATCCATCAGCATAACTAAATCGTACCATTAACAAATAAGCAGCGTTCCTCGAGAACAGCGGAAACGAATAGTGTCCGTCAATCATATCTTAAAACGTTTTCAAAATTGTTCAGCAGAGTCGTACGCTAGACGTAACAGGGGCGCCCACCAACAGAAAATGGGTCGAAAAATTCGGCCCAAACGAAATCGGAAAAATGTCAGAAAACGCTGAAGAAGGAGAGGCTAACGAACCGCGATGGCAAGCTTTCATCTCGCTTTTTTGTGTAGGTGAACAGAACGGAAGGGCAACACCGATCGACGGAATAACCATATTCCGACATGAGACGGCAAGAACTAGTGCAGCTTGAAGCTCGTTCCTTAAAGATCATTAAGAGTGAAAATTAAGTAGAGTATTTTGCCAGGGGGTATACAGGATAGATCTGCTACCAATTGACATGTTGTTTTTATCGTTTTCGCGTAGATATACCAGTTCCGCCTATAGACTGCTGCTTGTGATTGAAAAAAAGCGAATCAGATAGGAAACTTCAGATGAACTCACGGTCGCTGCCTATGCCCTTTGTGTGCCATTGATTAAATTTACGAAAGGCTCTAATCAGATCACTTATGTGAGATACCAATATCTCATTAAAGTACAGTATTTATTATGGTTAAAAGCTAATTTTCTTCAGTAGTATATCACGTGTTATGTAAACGCATATGGCGGTTTTACTCTTTTGTAGATAATTAATTCTATATAATACTTAACTAGGACTAAAATAGGGACACGTCTTCTCACCAAAAACGCTAATATTGCACACTAATATATAAGTAAGCACAACAATGATAAAATTGAATAAAATGGAAAAAAGCACAAAAAAATAAGAAAAAAAATTCATTGCAGAAAACCTAAAATGAACCTAAAAATGATATCCCTTGAGAGATATGCTAATGGAAATTATAAATAATATAATGATTAATCTAAATTTGCATCGGTGTTTTCTGGTGATATCACATGACGCCTGAAGGAAGCTGATTGCAGGTAGAGATGTGAGAACTTCAAAGCGGGGTCGACTTAAGCTTTTATAGTGTTGGTTTACGGTTTAATAGCAACATCAAGAACAAACTCAAAAATTGAAGCTTTGCTGATGCGCCCAGTACGCTCAAGTTTTGATTATAGTCAGTCAATAGAATTCTAAGTACAGTTTACAGAAGTTCAGGTACAATTGATAGAAGTTAACATAGCCATAGAAATCGCGTCCTCAATAGAGCTTTTATTTTTTTAGCTTTGTCGTTGGCTGGCAAGAATCATCACTTCACAGCCACTTGTTTTGCGCTTATATAGACGTAGACTTGTATTTAATCATTTTAAACTTTTTTATGATAATTGAAGCTTCCGAAATGATCGGGGGGGGGGGGGGTGTTACACCAGTGCACGGCAACAAACTCACACAACGAACTTTCCCATCGTCTTGACCTATAACCTGCAGTCATGGATACTCGTAGCGATCTCGGCCATCCTTGCTTGTTCTTTTTTCAGCCTCGGATTCGTTTTTCTATTGTCGCCGTGTTCCGTAGTTTGCGCGGTCGACTTAAGCCGTTAGATGCTACTTCAGACGTTCATGGACAGAAAGGGACGTACCCTCGAGGCATTCTTTCGCCTATGCCACACTTCGCAGCGGTGCTACGCATTTTCTAATTCTAATTCTTCACTCTGGAAAATAACGCGCCATAGCAGTTGTCTATGTACTTATGTGGCGCTAATGATACATAGAGAATAGCCAGGCGTCGGCTGTTCCCAGAGTTACGAGTCGTACGGCACGCCACTCAAAAGTATCAAGCCTATTTACCCTCTTACATTTTCGTAGTAGAACAATGCTGCTGCGCATTAGCACCAAGCAGCTTGCTGATTGACGCAAAACAAGGTCGAAAAAACTGTAGAGCTTCGAAAGTAATAGGTCTGGTAGGTTGGCTCAAGGTCCAAGTCGCACTACCGTCGTCGAGCCGGATCGTAAAACTATTACAGTTCGCTGGAGTTGCTTCATGAGCAAATACTTGATACTTTAAATACATACGGTCTCGAACCTATGTCGCCGTGCTAAGGTGACGTGTGCTAAGTTACTTTCACACGGTGACAGGACCTACGAAAGGTATTGATCTCACCGTTCCCCGAATGCTGACTAAAAGGGTCAAACTCACGATTCATGCCCAATTTCTCGAACATCCACGAACTTTTTAAAGTTCTTTCTGGGTCTTCTGTTACGACAGAAGCTTTTTTTCGATGAGTTTGCTTTTTTCGGACGAAAGCGTCTATACAATCTTACTTCGAAGTTTTCTTACGTCTCTTCGATACCGAGCTGAAATCGAACGAAGCCCGCGGTATTCCTTGAAAATGGAATAACCCGTCTTACGACTGAAACGCTTGGGCGTAAAATTCTTGACATGAGATTTTTTATCGCCGATGCTGTTCAAGCAGTGTTTATTTACTATAATCAGCTTACAGCTTAGATCCGCTGACTTCTTTTGCGCGTGGCATCTTAAACTAATAGTTAGTCGGTAAATTTCCACGAACCAATATCGCTTGATTTAGGTTTTTCCTTAGCGTCGGTATACTGAGAAGTTTTCGTAGTTCGAAAGCCGCGAAACTTGCTTAAAGCTACTTTCAGTATCAATCTAAATTAGATGTGGATACACGGTACGGTCTTTCATCTCCTCGAGACGACCTACTGACGTTATTGCCGCGTTGCGCAAATGTCCAGAGAAAGAGAGAGCCAAGGAAGCTTACCACCGAACGTTAAAGCTACGTACCATATGCCGCAGTATAGTAGGCCAAAGATATGGGATGCTCAAGTCGAAAAAGTCTATTTGGCTTCATCGTATGCACAGTCTCTTGTCAGAGGCCCTGTCTTCCCTTATTTATGTTAAGTTTGCTTTTATTTGTATGTTCCTGAGCAGTGGCGGGGGGCAGTGGGGGTTTTTCAAATGTATATACACATATACACAGTTGAGTTTTGCTATATTCACCTCAAGTCCCGGCATTATGCGCGGCTGCGCTAAAACCAGTGATACTAAAGATGAAGCATTACACGTTTCTCATCTCGCCGATATTGCAAGAGGTACATAGATATTGATGCGTTATCTGGAAATGATAAGATGAAGGCACTAGTGTTCATTGACATGAAAGCGTTTAGAACACGAACTATCAGAGGTCGCGTGACATTTCTAACCTTTTATATTTTGTTTTTTTTTTTTCTTTCTACATAAGCGAATGCTCTTGCCCGTAGTAAGTGACTTATCACAATCGGCAAAAGAAACAAATATTGTATTCCACCGATAAGTCAGTTGGGATGCTTCAAGAAAGCACTTTCTGTCCTCTTCTTTTATAAAACATTTGCTTGCCGCCAACGTGTAAATACTAGAACATTTGCAAGTGTTTTATGCTTAGTAACTCATAAACTTACAAACGCTACCGTGTGGCAATCGGCCGGCTGTTTTCCATTACGGCACTATGCCGAATAGCACTCTATGAGATCTCTCTAAACATTCAGCGAAGATAACGTAATAAGTTCTCAGATAAAACTTGCACATGGCAATGTATCGTGCTCTTTTGAAAGCGCTCTCCTTAAGGAACGTGCATCTCAACAATAACGTCTTTAAAGGCTTAGGAAAATGCAGCATAAGGTTGAACAGCATTTAGGTCTCTCTGACATACGGGTCAGTTGACAAAAGGATGTCCGTGTCTGTTTAGCTACAATCATTTGTTAAGGACGTAATTCAAGTTATAAGTGCGTAAGCACAAAATCATATATAACTGATCATCGTATAACCATTTCGTGTTCTGGACCATCTCTTATAGCTTCATTTTGTTTTTCAACTATAATAAAGTACGAGTAACTTACAAGTCTGAACAATTAGTTTGCGTGAACCGTTGCGTCTCAACCAAGAGTATAAGCTTTGTCTCGTGTTTAAGGCCTGCTGGAACCACTGAAGTATGATAACAATGTTTGTGGCCCGAATCTCTAGCAGACTAAAGGCCTAATGGGAATAAAAAAAAAATGAAATAATCTTTTGTATCAGAGACATCGGACAATGAAACAGGGTCGCCGATATCGGGTGACAGGACTGTACAGCGAATTGTACTGTACAACGAAGTACCTTGTCCTTCATACAGATCCTTATAGCAAATTCGGAGCCTACTGAGAGCGCCATTGCAGCTTAAGTTAATGTCTCACATGCTGCTTTGCGCAGAACAGGTCTTGCTGATTAATTGATACGGAGTTACGTAAGCAGTAGTTATCGAAGAAAATGCATATATATATATATATATAATTTTTTTAGGCTATCAGGTGACCTCTGGAAGTCATGCGTAAAAAATAACGACCGATGATAGAATCGACGTTTCGTTTACGCCAACGTTTCGTTTACCCTGGTAATATGATCAGTACCGCTTCCAGTCATACCGGTTCCATGAGTAGCTACAGGATAAACGGTGACAGCGCTTAGCGAAAGGGGATCGCCCACCCCGCTTGAGATTTTCGAATAGATAACACCGCCACTCAACGTGACGACATCGGAGTTAATTACCGATATCGTTCATCATGGATTGCACGTACCGGAATGATACGACGTCTTTTAAAGTAACATCGTTCGGACACTGGATGTGCAACGAGAAACGCTTTAACGGCATAGCATTTTCAAGTAGTCCAAAACAACTACGTAATATAAATAATTAAAATTGAACTTATGGTGTGACAAGTGGCTTTACATTACAATGTAATGAAGTTATTCAATTAGTCGATATCATTATACTGTAGGGAAAAGGTATCGTGCCAAAGAAAGGTCAACGTGCACAGCTGTCATTCTTCTCCATTTGTCGAACCGCCGTTAACACAGAAGAACGAAATTCTATCGTACATCATGCCAAAACTGAAAGGTTAATAAATAAACGTAGGTAAGGTAAACTTTTTTAAGTTGTCGCCTGCGTGTTTAGTTAAACATTCGGTTCATAACAAACGTTTGGGGCTTAGGAATAACAAAATAACAGGCAAGCAACGCAATATATCCGTCATATCAAAGATTAGAGCTATTTCTAAGCGCCATCTGCTCAGCCTCTTAGACGTGAGTTCGATACCTGAACTTAAAGACCTACATTTTAATTATTGTTAATTTACTTCTATTTACCGCTGATAACTTTGCTATTGTTAATCTCGACTAGTTTCGTTTGTGTTTATTTACTCTATTTCTGTTGATCGGTACGGTAATATATGTATTTTATAATGTCAAGCTTCGTAAACACACACCGTACAATTAGCGAATACTCTAAGTATCATTCTACTAAGCGTCATATATACATCTATGTACACTCGTACGGCACAAGCTTATTTTTCAGTATTACTACACCGAGTTCCAGCTACTTAGAGCCAATAATGGCGAGAGATTTAAAATAAAGTGAATTTTACCTGATTAAGCGCGGCCTGCTGCTTATCTGAAAGATCACCTACGCGTCCACTCATGATAAAATCGCTACTGATGTTAGCAAACGTATCTTAACAGGGTCAATGATATAACGCGTCAAACGCGTTAAACAGGGGTGAGTAGGCCTTTTCTGTTTCGCTTACAAAAACCGCTGTCACTTATTTCGTCACTAATTTTCGGCTGCGTCTTTGGAGATACGAATCGCCTTTGATCGGCTATCCGTTAGTTCAGCGTACGGCGCAAGAAATCCCATGAGCACTAGACTGTTTCTAAAATGGTCCGTTTGACTCGATATTCGCCTACTATTTCACCCTACGGATACTATAAAAACGGTTCCAAAGAAACGTTCTCTACTTTCCGTCCGTTCCCAACGCCGCAATTGCTAGAGAGAAGTGCTGCGCGTGTGATAATCGCTCGACCCCTTGTGCTGGCCCTTTCTTAGGCAAACTCAAGCAGTTCAGTCGATGCGAACATGCGGTCCGTTGACGTGGTCACGTAGACACGCACGCACGCACACACAACAACAGAAGTGATCTGTGAAGAGCAGGAGCGACAGCGGCAGCACGAATCGTAGCAATGACCGATACTGCACTGATGCGGTCAATTAACCTCCTGTTTAGGCTGCTGTCAGCTGCCCAGTGTTAAGTTAGCCGGAACAACGAATTGGTGTGAGACGCAAATGTTTCACAATGCCACGATAATGTCGCGCGGCCTTTGATTTAATTTAGGTGGCTGCCGCGCCGCCATCAGTAAGGAGACGCTAGCGACACCCTTACTAAGCGCCCTCAACGAGTAGGAAAAGGAAAGCCATCCACAAAAATACACGTCTACCTAACCGTGCAATTGTGTGCTTGTTAAGAACGATAGCAATCAGAAGGGGAAAGGAAAGTCTCTCGTTTGTCGCGAGCGGGTGCTTGTACTGAGGTAGTTGCATTTGAAACAGTAGTCGCAGTCGCGGTAGTAGCAGCAGCAGCAGTAGCAGCAGCTTCATTGTCTGCCGTCAACCAGCGCTACCGATCGACACAACGCGATTCCGTCAATTTTGCTATTCAGCGACGAAGCTTCAGCGATATCGGCCGCGATAGGGCCGGCGACGGGTTTACGCTTGCCGCCGCCGCTGCTGTCGTTGTCATCATCATCGAAATCTTCGTTGTTCTTAATGTCGTTAATGTTCCCGAAGGGTGCATCAAGTGTAGCGCCGTGAGAGCTTGGCCACTGAGCCTTTTGGTCGTTTGACCTTTTTCAGCGCCGAGTTCCCTCTCACACGCTCTTTTCGAGTTACTGCGATTTCGATGATGATGATGATGACAACGACAGCAGCGGCGGCCTTGTCTTCCACTTCGCCTTTTCTCATAGTCACAACGGTGGCTGGCGTTCCTGCGATGGTAGCACTGGAATAAGTCCTTCACTGCGTGGACTACGGATAAATGGCTAATAGCAGGGCAGGGGCGGCTAAATTGAAATCTGTTTAGCGACGACCGGTCGCTGTTCGCGATCGACTGTAGCAATTTGATGTAACAATCCGTATCATCGTTCTCCTTAACGCGGACTGTTCTCTGATAGTGACTGCTGATGACGGCGATTGCGAGCCGAAAAAAACAACCCAGAAAAATTTACTCGTAGATGCAATGGTCCCACATATCGATACAGCTGGCCAAATTACTTGCGTATATGGAAACATAATACGTATTCCCCGATTCTTTGTGTTATGCAAAGTTTCTTAGGCGCTCTAGCGTTTACAGCCAGCTCCAGAATTTACAAGTTACAACTGCACGTTTGGTCCAAGGTCCATTCAACCTCGTACTGATGCTCGCACGTGGACGCGTGATTGTGCCGTTCACGTATTTCATATGTCGCGCTTGAAACGGACGCTCGTTAGCGCGTATATCTGCATTCTGATAAGATTACAACTATCGAAACGCTAATTAGAAGGAAAGTGTCAGAGACAGGAAGATGATACTTTAACAATGTACGGTTATTCGCGTGTCAAAAATACTAGCTTTTTTTTTTCATTGACCTGAAAAGTTGCGGAAACCCATTTCTCACTCGCTAGTCAGGACTGCAAAACAGAACAGCAGAATCTCTGTAAGAGTATTTAAAATTGATTCCGCCCACAAGAAGGCCGTCTCCAGAACTTACTGGTTAACGACGTTGAACCTTGACTACACGAACATGAATTGCGCCAGGATCCGCTAGGGGTACAGGACACGCGAGCTTTATGCTGGATATTCAGCCACGGCTGTGTTCCATTAGTACAAGCAATACGATTCTGCTTTGCATGTTAAGGGTGTGGCGAAAGAAAATGATGCTTGCAACAGGTCCGTCCAACAAAATATAGATATGTATCGAATGAAGATATTGTGACTTCACGGGTCCAGCAACAGGCACAACCGTAAGCGTAAGGCAACGTTCTTAATGGGTAGTTCAGCGAATTCATTTACCGGTTATCGGTGGCATTTTACCAGTATAGATAACCTTAAAATGTTTGATATTGATTTGATATATATCGGATTGTAGGCGCCAGCCTGAACGCTCGAATTCTTTAGATTTTGCGTCACTGGGAACGAGCCTAAAGAAACGATGAGCTCTCAATGTGTTCTGTATTTTCGTAAGTCTACTTTTACAGTTCGAATATTGTTTTACTTTCCAAACCGAAAGTCATTGATACAGGAAAAACCTGAACGCCTATACGTCAGCCGTTCCTAAAGTTGGTGATGCAAACATTGCGTTATTTAGAACTAAACACTTTATCATACAAATGATCTTTCATTGAATGCAATCAAATGTAGTATCGGAACTTATCACTACCTCCTCTATCTTGTCATATTGTATGAAAAGTTCACACTTGTTTGTTCGAACGTTCACTGCCCCTTGTGCTACGTGCAGCCTGTATTTCATTAGTTGTCCCCCCTTAGAATGATCGAATTCCGTTGATTATAATTGCCGGAATTGACGAAACCAGTTTCCTTTTGAATGTGAAGAATCCAAATTAATATATTCGGTAGTCCTTATTGTTTCCTCGGCTTGCAGCGGTTCCTATTAAGCGAAGTCATTGAATTATTGAAGAGCTGTGACACCATCGACTGAGGCACCACAGAATCTTGTTCGCCGTAGCCTTGAGCTCGAGCTGGTATCTTTAGTCGGCTTTACATTGCTTCTTCTGGGATCTGTTATCGTCACAGCTTGTACAAAACACTAGCCTTCTATAAATAGCCCAGGTATGATAGCACAGAAGGGACGTACTAAACCTGATCTATTGAATCTGAGACGATATTGGTTGGTTGGTTGGTTGGTTGATTATTATTGCACGCGTCAATCGGGCGCACGATGATGCAGAGGTGGAAACTTCGATAAAACGTGACGTAAAATGAGTGCTTCTATTCAAGGTCGAGCACAACTAGGTTTTTGTTAGTAATATGGCCTATTAAAATTAGACGAAAAAGCTATTCTGTTGTAAGCGCTTTGGAATGATTTGATAAGATACTTGTTAGTACAGAGAATATTAATTAAGGACACGTGGCCTGCGCTCATTTCTGTTCAACTTTGTTACGATCGATCGCGACAGGTATCAGCAGTGATTGCTATAAGGAGATTTCGTGTTTCGTTTGTCTGCTGCGGCTTTGCCATATTCATCCTCGTGTATTCTGAAGTGTTCCGCAAAATGAGCCTTCGTGCATAGAGCTTTTAGCACGTCTAACGGTCAGCTGTAAATAGCTAACATCGCTGCTGCCGTTGAATAGCAACGAATACAGACCTCCATTTCGTTCTGTACTATGAGCTAGATTACGCTTCGCTACCTATCAAATTATATTGGCTTGCCGAAAAAAGTATTGAGCCAAAGTCGAAATAACTGTTTTTGTGTCTTGAAACAATAACTCGAAAAGCAACCATTTTAGTCGATCAACTACTGCCATTTCGGTTATTAGCCAATAGCCCCTATCACTGCAGAACTTATAATGATTTTTGCCGAATCATTATGAGTGAAAGACTACGCTTTGCTTTCCTAATTTACTAATTCTGATCAATTTTTCAGTGATTTTTCGTCATCCTGCCAGTGGTTGACAGTGGATATCCGAATTAACTGTCTTCATGGACAACAATATGCACGATTCGTTAATGCCCATCGAACATATGATTGTATCAATCTGAACTGGCCACAGATTGTGCAGCACATTTTTTCTATTGAACATTATTTTCGCGTGTGAGACACTAATTCACTGTCACCACTGTTAATAATCACTGTCACCTTGAAGATGGCTTGAGTTTGCTGCGTTTCTGGAAAATTTCGCAGACGGAAGGCGATGGAGAAGACTCTTCTCGATCAACTCGTGAGGCCCCAAGAGCTGAGCTCTTTTTTTGTAAACAAATCTCTTCAAATGGTTAAAAATTGTATAGCGGTGGGTGTTTAGTTCTTTACCGGTATCCACTTGTGGGTCATGCTAAATTTTCGCGATAGTTCCACCACGTTTTTTCGAAATTATTCGATTATTCTAAAAAGTATTTTTCACATGAAAACTATCAGAACGAAGAGAACAGAGCGATTTCTTTCGTTAACACACTCTGACTGTAAATAGCATATTTTTTTTTTATGATTTGGCCAGTTTTCGTGCCTTAATCGTAATAAAATTATAAAATACAGCAAATTTTTATGAAGATTTTACTCATCTTCCAGAGGCGAAATTTCGAGCCTAAATAAAGGCATTCCGACAACTGTGGCACATCTGATATATGTAGATTTTAGTTTTCAAATGATAACAAGGCCGACCTGACACAGTTAGTACTGCTTGAGATATGTGACTTCAAAGCCATCTAGCCAGACAGGCGATCGATGCAACACCCCGACGAATACCGTTAATAGCTGACCGCAGGACAAGCGCATACATACATTATACATAATAGGTAAATTATAGCTAAATTCGTAAACTTACAATCGATGTAGCAGGGTGTGCAAACTTTCTTTTCAAAAAAGGCGTAGCGATGAGATTGCCGACTGCAGCCGATTTTGACGAAAGTTGCCCCCCAATTGTAACAGCTTAAACCCCAAACGCTCTACTTTATAGGGACATGCAAAGCCATCTCGTAAGGTAACAAAACTTTCTACAGATTTTCGTCATCGACTGTGCTACAAATTAAGTTACATATACTCATTAATTTTGGATGAAACGAAAAAAAAGGTAGAGACTTCGCTTGGTTAAATGGCTTTATTGAAAAAGCGTCAAATGGTGAAAACACCAATTGTGCGCTAACTGACTCTGAAACTTGGCATAATGCAGCATATGCCACCGTGGTAAGAAATTTTATTGGCGCTGTGAACTTGAAACTCGCGGGGCATCCCACGACGGACGTCTCGTGCAGACGCTGTACGGACGTACTGATATGACTTTATTTTGAAGTATCTACACTCGAGCAAACTAAATAAGCAATACACTTACTATATATAGATTAATAAACATGCTTATAATAGTCGCTCTGTAGAACTTCTTGTTCAACAAATTTGATCCTTCGGTAAAGTTCATGTAATTCCAATAACCTGGCTTTGAAACCTTTCCAGAGACCATGTACATGATCGAAAATCTCACCGTTACTACGATTGAGCTGATCTTAATCCTAATTATAGTCGTAGATCACTTATTGGTCAGCTGTTTACCACTACATTGGGTTAGGTTACGATTTAGTTCATCAAGCCTCCACAATTTACTGGCCGGGCATCTAGAAGAAGCTAACAATGCCTAAAATGAATGCCTTTCGTTTATTGACGGCTGTAAAGTATCCGTTGGACTTCTTCTAGAGCTTCATTATGAAGTCATTTGTCAACTACCGAAGCGTCTGAAATGCAGGAACTCTGTAGCGTGCAATTGGGTCAAATCTGTTTATGGATACGAATGAATTACGTGTTCCGTTTCTACCTGTTTGTTTAACCGAAAATCTCTAGGAACAACAAACCGTTCCGATTCGAATTGTCAGCTCACTCAAAAGTGACACTTGCTGATGCCACTGACGCGTTCCGGGAACTAACAGAGTAGTATTTTTGTTTTTTTCATTGTTAAAGTTATTACATTCATTCGATTGATACCGCAAACCTTCTCATACTGGGATCATCGTTAACCGCAATCTCATTTTATAGTTACATTGGACTAAGGTAAACGAGTAGGTAGCCTTAATGATCAATGGTACGTAGCGTACAGAATTATCAAATGCAGGCAAGAAGTTTCGTGTCGAAGTGACTGGGGCTCTTGATACGGCTTCAGTGTCCGGTTGTCATGTTAATGGCGTATAATTTAAGCGCATGACATTGCACAAATTCTAGACAGAAACAAGACCTAATGATACAAATGTCTCAAGAGGAAAAAGCTGTGCCTATTAAACAATAGAACTAAGGCTGAAAGAAGATTGCACGCTGCTTACGGTCAATATGGCTCTGCTGTTATTTTGTCAGTAAGTTTATAGAAAGATACATGCGTTGTTTGTGACGTAAAAAATAAACTTGGATAAATAGGAACGATAGTAATTTATTGCTTTTATTCTCATTGACTAAATTTAAAGGAAGTCAAGTTGTGTGCATTCTATCAATAGTTTCGTCTTTAGTTTTTCATCACGAACTGCAGCCCCTCACCGCATGGGTCGAACTCACTTGGTTCTAAATAAGAAACCAGCTCATTCTTGCCGTTAAATGACCCGTTGTCAAGAAGCAGAGACTGATCTTTCGATTGAGTAGTCTATAGAACGTTTTTTTACACTTCGTTATAACAAGTCGACGAAAAATACGTGTTTACTCACAATTGAATTATACTAAAGCATGCAAAATATATATATATTACTGTAAAATGACTAATTCGCCTAATGTCGAACACGACCAGAGAAGATTAAAAAATAGGTAGATTGACAGTTGCAAATGGTACTGAGTTTTTTCAAGATTTAATTATTTCTAATAATATTTGACTCTCTTGGATAATATACAATCAACAATATATCTATATGAACATAGTGAAACGAAGCTTGTTTCAAGGAAGCCACACAGTTTTAGGACATTTCAATATGTTGGAGAGACTGTGCTTGATATTTCTGCAAAATTGCCACTACTTTAGAGTTCATCATTTGCTCCCTCTGTTGCCTATAGCCTCTTGTTACTTCCTGGTCGATATGCCGCGTTTTATTTCTCATTGTAATCAGTCAGAAATAGGAAAATAAAAACAAGAACGCGTATGTCCTTTTACAACACAGGAATTATAATTATACTTTTCGTAATGGCAGATATACTCAAGATCATGGTCCATATCTCCCTGAATATCATATCAGAAGGTAAAGCCACAACTCAATCACTATTTGAGACTCAATGCACTGCTAAAATGCAGGGTGAAACAAGCGGCGGAACAGCTCGTTAAAGCACATAGGAAACTGAACCGCAGAGACAATAAAAGTAGTACAAGTGTATTTGTATCTAATTATAATAATTGCTATAGTGAAATGTATCGCGGAGGGGATCCTACGCATTGTTTATTATTTTTTTTGCATATTCCGGATATGGTTTCACAGTTATCGAAAATTAGGGTGTTTAGAAAACTTAGTCTTTTATCGTCACCAAATTTAACGCCGACGCCTTAATCCGGCAGCTACGAAATGCGGTCATCAGTTACGTCAAGGGTAATTCGTTGAGCATGAGTGCGTCGCCACTGCGTCGCATCGATGGATCATGGGCCGTTATGGCTCAAGCAAACAGGCACTACGTCTTGTCTCCTTCTGATTGACCTTCGTCTCATGTGATATTTGTAACAGCCGTATGAATGCTGGGCATGTTCTTGCTTAGTCTAACTGCTTACTCTGTCCTGTAAGCCTGATCTTTTTCCCTAAGTGATATCGTTGAGGTTCGTATTGAACATCAGGATAGTTTTCAAAGAACTTCAGCATAATTATTCGGCTCCAGATAACATTCTGGTGGATTCTGCTGTTTCTTAGAACACCTAGCGGTAAGTGCTTAAACTTCAAAATAGTATAGACATCATTGGAGTCAATGTCGATTACCTACGAGTCTATATGGTTCTTGAATTGCTTTACACAATCGTTGAAGGCCATTATGAAGTACAGAAGTATACACAATGTGCGCAAATAAAAATGTTAGTCTAAATATTATAAAATATAAGAATAGGTGTACTCAACACATTTTTCTCGACCGCGTCGAGTCAGAATGCATTTCCCCAGCAGTCTAATTTATTAAACACATTCAAAATTAACTAGTTCTTTTTTAGATTAGCTACTAACTCAAACTTCAGTACTTCATTTACTTTAGTAAATCGTACTTCATATTTTGTTACCCTTCCCTGCACTGCTTCGGGAGAGGGTGCTCCACTCTCTCGCTGCGATCTTATTCGCCATCCTCCGCCTTTGTAAGAACGAAATAGAGATGAACGAACTGGGGGAGCGAGGGAAGGGGTTCGCCAGGAGGGTATAGACTAGCGAATGCGAAGAACAGAGTACACGAGCATCTGCGTAATGGGTGCTCCACTACGGCTTCATCCCGCAGACGCACATCAACCCCAGCCTAACTTACTCAGGATGTCCCTCACTTCGCTTCACCTCGCCATGAGGGTACGATAGCGTTGAAAGAGTATATCGGCTGGACAGACAAGATAGAGTCTCTCACCTACAAAGAAACAGAGGCACACACAAAAAAACCAGAGCGAACTCGAAATCATCCAGATCTTTAGCATATAAATTATCCAATGATGAATGCATTAGTCAGCTTGAGAGAAGCAACAAAAATGTCGGTATTGCTATATACATAGAGATATGAGGTGGGATGGATAAATTGCCTAAAAAATAAAACTTTCGCCAGCTAGTTGCGATATAGCTTCGTTTCGTACAGCGTGAACGCATTCTTTGTAGATTGTCTAGACAACAAAACAGCGCTGCTGGCTGAAATCGTCGCACAGAATACTTGGCAAGTAACTGATGAGAAGGAAGCGGGAGTACACCCAGACGACCCCATCTTCAGATCCCTTTAGATTTCATCCATCTCTTTTTGGTCGTCTACCTCCAAATGGGGGCGCTAGTGGTTGCTGCTACCTCGATGAGGGGAGCAGAGCTGACAGGACAGAGCGAGATGCGCTAGCACGGCGGGCGATGTTCATTCGTCGACCTGGACTGCGTACGCGGTCCTACACGCAGACGACAGTGTTGTGATATCTAGGACACGAGTAGGATATAATTGGCGAAACAGGAGATGCCTTATTAGAATAAAGTAGTAAAACAGCGGGCGTTACGCCCAATAAAAGCTCTTCTTTCGGTGCTTAATGATTTTCATGCAACTAGAATTGCAGTGGTCTGCAGAAAATTGAGGAGTTGTGTGTTTCGGTAATAATACACGATAGACTGGATTCAATTATACGGCCAAAACTGAAACTGGCCAAGAGTGATGCTTCTACAGGAGCTACGGTGGGCGATCTTGTTCATAGTGAGCGCGCTGTTGCTAGCTGAAGCGCGCGAATGGCAATCACAGGATATTGCAGAATCACGCAACGGTATAAAGTGTTGTTGAATTCCTGATCAAAATATGCATATGATTCGGTTAAAAATTCTGATCACTCTCTTAGTCGATATAGTTATATATGATCTAACAAAAAAAGGTTTATTACACGAGTGATAGTACCAACATCTGCAACACAGCGCTTACAGATATAAATACTCTAACAAACTTCCTGTACTGTAATAAGAAATTTGTTTAACTGGCAGTAAACTTCGATAGCTGCATTCGATTTCATGGTATCAATGATAACTAGACTGTTAAGCAATCCGTTACGACGTCGGGTTCAACTTTTTCTCACCAATAACATCGAATAGATCCTGCATGATTCCATGTAGCTGTGCACTCTTACTACGAGTCCGTGATGCCCTGAAAAAGGTTGATTCTGAGCAAACGGAATACAACCGCCGGTAAACAATTGCCGTTTTTAGCGATAACGGCAAACAAAGGATTTCTATTTTGATGTTATATATCAAAGGGTTTTGGCTTGTTTCACTAGTCAATACCGGGGGATAGAAACCACATTGAAAGAGCGCCTTATCCTTTGTAAATTTGAGAAAACCTATTACAACTGTCCTTGGCTACATTTGAAGTCGTAGTGTTATATGTTTTCACTGTCTAAATATATTCGATGATGAAGTAATCACCTCACAGATGGAAGCATTACCAAGCGCCAAGAGACTCATTACTAAGAGTCTAAGATAAATAACACTGTCACTAAGAAAAATCAAAAGAAAATTAGGACTTCAAAAGAAAATGTAGACTTACCGTTGTAAGCTCTTGGATTAAACAGGTAGTTGCGGTTGACTTCTTAACGAACACTCTGAAAAAATATATTTAAATTTTACTCTTTCGATTCCCACACGTGTACACACTATTGGATGTGTTTAGCCATATGTGCATTAGTTCTGAATATATATGCTCTTCCGTGGTTTTACTCAACAGACGATACGGAGTACTCATCGGAAAAATGCTCTCGTACCGTAGACATCTACCAGAGCGTCGAGCTTCCCGTGTTGAACGAACGAAACCGCGGAAAACCCCTTCATTGCGCTTATCGTATTCGCGTCCGTCCGGCTCGTGATGACTGGGTTGTCTTTGTGCGCTTCACAAGGCTTCGTGTCGGGGCACCTTCTGATGACCGGCAGTTATGCCAAGGAGGTAGGCTCAAAATATAACTAGACCCAATAAACAGTAAACCTTTTTCAGAGACGTCGACATTGAAAGGTTTCAAAAGCGAGGTGTACCAACGAAATATATGGTAACACACACTCGTTTATAATAAAAACATTTATATATTTTACTAGAGATAAAAAAAATTGGAGTCGCGCTTAGGATACAGTTACTGAAAACCATAACACGAAGTCATTATATTAGAAGGTCCGTTTGACTGGAGCATTTTCCGGTTTTGTCTCTTTGCTTCTTTTTTACAAAACGGAAAGGCCTATGTTTACTTACAACTTACTAATGGTTTACACTTTACTCTGTCGGTTCGCAAATTACAGGATATATGCAGATTGTGGATGGCTATGCCCGTGAAACAAACATCTCGAACCGCGACGGCCCCGGCTTCTACTGTGGCGAAATCGATTCGCCAAAGACGTTCATTTCGGAAACGCCATACGTTAAGGTCGTCTTCCACGTTGACGTGTACGAGGCCGACACGTATATACATTTCGAGGCGACCGTAAAGCAGCAGCAAGAAGTAGCGTCCAGGTTAGAAACTATAGGGAATTCCCTCGGCCTGTCAAAATATACATGACTGTGCCATTATGACTCTAAAAGGAAGGCCGAATTGTTTCTAAAAAAATTAAGCATTGCATATTTCCTTTAAATTATATATAATTATATGTAGAAAGTTTTCTTTTTCATATTTGTGGTCCAGATATGGTCAATACTCCAATCTGTATCCCCACCGGCGAGGCCAGCCGGTGCCGAACACGTACTGCCAGCGGCTGTTTAAGGATTGCGCTCCAGGCCGATGCTTCGTGCAAAGCCCAGCCTATCCCGGCATTTACCCGCGCAACCTCAACTGTCGCTATCGGATCAGCGTACGCCAGAGTCTTGTAGGCCTCGATCTTGTATTCTTTGATGTAGACGGCCTGCGCTGTGACAATCTGCTGATGTGCTTCCCACGACCGATTTCACGAGAGCCATCTGACTGTCTTTTTGACTATGTCCGCATCCACGATGGTCCTACTGATGATCACCCAGTCATAGCGACGCTTTGTGGCCGAGGCAGATTGAAGTCGAATATCGTTGCGTCCGGCTCAGAGATGCTCGTCACCTTTGTTACATCACCTGCAGGGCCTTTACTCAACACGGGGTTTCACTTCAAAGTATGTAGCCGAGTACGCTAGTCCTATCATTTATCGAATCCCCATAACTAGTATTTTTTAACTTGTTCAATTAATTTGTAGAATTTATATATGCATATTAACTTGTAGGAACTATATATACATATAAATATGATAAAACATTTTTTAGGCGGATAGCGTCTACGATTCGGGAGAAGGCGAAACAATTGAGCTACATCGGGGAAGCATGCCAGGAGGAGCGCTGGGAATAGGGCCAAGTGGTTCATGCATCATACAACGAGCATTGTCGGTTTCACCGTCCACATTTAATTCCATTCGCTCGTGGTACCCTGCAAATACGTCCTGCCAGTTTCGGTTATCAGCTCCATCTGGAGAACGGATTCGTGTCGCTTTCTCACAATTTCGAGTTGAAAGGGTCACATTCTGCGCAGAAGCTGTGAGGATCTATGATGCAGCCGAGCCCGATCCTCGTTTCATTCTTAGCAAGGTATTGTAGCATTGGCAAATACTTCCAGATTTATCACTAAAGTTTGTCATAGTTCATCAACGATTTATTGCAGATCTTGTTCGTTATATATATATATATATTCATTTTTTTAAGGACAAATAAAAAGAAGGTGGTCATGCATGTCTATTACACAATGATTTTAGTTATGCGATACAAATCGGCCCGCATTAGACGCGCCTCGCGCTGAATTCGAATCATCCTCAAATCGGATGCTGGTCGACTTCACTTCGACCGTTGGCAGCCTCGACGGAAGTTCGATAACATTTTTGTTTGAAGCGCGTCACGTTCCGCCGCCGTCTACACACAGTAATCGCACCCATCAACTTCCTCTAAATGGGTCGGACTGCGTCTCTCGAAATGACAAAGGTTTGTGAACAACGCAAAAAAAGGATATAATTAACTTTGATTTTATAAATTGATAAACGTCTAGAAAAATTCATCGCTATTGTAGTTTGAACTGAGTGCTTAAAGCTTATATAGAATGTGCCTTAACTCATATACGCAGGAACTGTTCTCAAAACAAAGAAAAAAGTCACACACTTGCTTTGTCGACCAAAAACGCATAATAAACCCGCACTTCATTTACATTTAGTACACGTAGTCAGTTTTTTTCGGTAAAGCGTTAACTCTGTTCGAGCAGCGTCAATGTTTTCAACTTTCTTTTCAAGATTGCTGATTCTAAAAATTAGCCCTTATCAGATATAAGTTGATTGTCAGGTTGCTTGCTCTGAAAATGTCAGTCTTTGTAATAAGTAGATTCCTGATCAAGGTTTGTTACAATTACATAGATTCGTTTATGTAAACTTGGCAGTCGAAGCAGCTACATTAAACAAAACCATCTATGCTCAGCATGAGTACGCTTCATGCACGTTATTCTGTAGACTCACTCTTCGCTCGAGTCGCCCGCATAACTTAGGCTGTTTGTTTACTCTTTTAGATTGCAGTAGCTATGAAACAACGTTCGAGCCGTTCGTTGACACGAAAGCTGAGCGTGACAACTAATTGGTCCGTGCAGGCTGTCACGTAAGCGCCAACATAAGGTAACGCCGTTTGCTTAGATGTACTGCGCCACGATATAAGTGTTTGGTTGTCTCCAGATAGTCTTGTGTAAACACTTCGCTATACTTGCCGATAAAGGAGGGCAGTTTCACGGGTGCAGTTCTTATTTAATCATTCGCAATTCACCTGCAGTAGGTTTCATAATTGATGGACGTCTATGGAACGGCACGAAGTCTTGTTTCTCTATTTCCGCGCAAGGGTCACTGATCCAAACCACATCAAGGACATATATCGCATAACGAATTTTCTATAGCTGTATATCGAAGTTTTTCAAAACTTTTTTCATCTATCTTTTCAGATAAAATAAAACCTAGCACGATGCGTGTGGTAGTCGATCACTCAGTCTAACACAATATACAGTGAAGGATGAAGCATCTGCTCTAACATTTTGCTTAACGGGTCTATATTTATTCACATTGAAGAAGAAGAAAAAGAGCAGACCTAGTGGTAGATATTTGTACGTATTATCTACAAGTTTTGTTGAAGAACCAAAATCGCTTTGGTATGAAAAACTATTCGATCGAAACCTTTAACAATTATGTGTGTTTTGGAATACAAGCAAATAGATCTTGCTCGAACCTTTTTGTGCACTGTCTTTAGAAAGTTCGTTATGTATAGAAGTATTTCAATGTGGTTCCAAAATGATTCTTCAATCATATCATGTCGTCATGCACTTATTGAGCTATAATCCTGTATGAAACCCTATAACGATAACGTTCGACATAGGCACTTCTTCTTAAATGCGCCTAGGTAATGGAATTTCAAACCGCCCGCTGTGCGTGTTCCACGACAAATCGTTACTTTAGCACTATATCCGCTACCAGAGTCAACAGAAATACGCAAACGAAACTGGGATATAGGGAGTAACTCGTTTACTTTCATGCGATAACAAATATGTACGTAGCCTGAAGAAAATTAACAACGGAAACAACCAAAACTCTACGGCTGAGGTTTTACTTTACTCACGCACGGAGCGCCAGCGTGAAAAAGTGCACCCCCGCAAGGAATCATTTCAACTATCATTAACCCCAGTGTAAGTAGACGTGTCCGGGAGCCTTTAGAAAGACTGTATATTATTACTAGCAAAAAAAAATATAAAGGCAGCATTTATCAGTGCCACCGCACTACTGTATGGTGTAGATATGAGATGATGTATTTTGCTAATATGATAACGATGATAAAAATAATGACTCTATATAACAGTTATCGACACCGATGCTCGTAACAGTGAATAATAGTGATTACCATAAAAAATATAAAGAGAGAACTTTTGCTATATATCCAACTCCATTTGATGAATATGATATGCAAAGAATCTCATATATATGTCATTATGCTGGCTAAATGAAAGATATTTTCCACCCGAAGCCATAGTTAAATGGCTTTAAAATTACATATCTCAAGTTATATGTGTCGCATCGAATTGGCGTTGATGTCATCTGAAAGCCAAGAGTTGGAAGTAGTAGATGTGCTACAATGGTCGAGATGCATTAATTCAGACCTGATAAAGCGCACCTTGAAGATGAGTAAGACTGTGCAAAAAATTGCTTTCTCTCTAACAGTTCTATTTCGATAAAGACAAAAAGCTGCCCAGGACTATGGAACAATTTGTGCTACTTATGATCAAAATGCTTTATTGGAAGAAACGGCCTAAAGATGCTTGTACCGCCTTCGTTTTAGAAATTTCGATATAAGAGATGCTCCTCGTAACGGACCAGTTGCGAACATAGTTGATGAAATTTTTGCGAAAGAAAGAAAAAAAAAACAATATTGCCAAGAAACTAAACATCGACCATCACACAGGTTTGAAACGTTTGAGAAAAGCTGGCTACAAAAGGTCTGATATTTTTTTTACGCAGAAGTATTTATCCAATCGTATTTCTGTCTACAGAAAGTGAATTATTGATAGCGGTTGATTACGGGTGATTAAAAACAGATTACATGCAACAATGCTGTGCAAATAAAAAAATCTGTGCTTTACAATCTGTAGCGAAGGCCAGACCGGCGGCAAAGAAAAGAACTTTGTGTCCGATCAAATTGAAACGGAACTGTATATTATGAGTTACTGCCATTTGGCAAAATAATTCATCTGAACAACTAACAAGATTTCGGTAAGCTATCGATAAATCGACCAGAATTAGTGAATATTTTCCATCCATATACATTATTAGCCGGAAAATTCTCAATTTTTTCGGACGCGAAATTTGAATGAATAGGACCTGTAGTCAAAATTTTACACCATCAGACTATCATTTATTTCCGGCTTTGCAGGATTCCCTTAATGGTGTCAATACAAGGGTTCAAAAATTTCTTTTGCTTGCAGTTTTTCGCCCAAAAGCTACATGAATTCTACAGTAAAGGATAAAAATGGCGCATATCCAATTTCGTAGTGTTATTTTAAAATATAAAAGATATTTTCTTTAATTTCGAGTTGAAACGGTCAATACGTTTTCGACGGCCAGATATACGGTAGGCGTTTTAATTACTCTCATAAGGTAAAGTTACCCTGTAAACACGCGAATCTAAACAAGTGAATCCATTCTGGGCAACATATCAGAGAATCGTTTATGAACTTAACTAAAGCCAACTCGAAGATCCATGATATGTCAGCCCAACAAACCGCTATAATCACAAATTTCGGTGCAAACATAACTAAACTGTGTCATAATAATAAACTGTGTCATAGATAGAACGAGGTTAGTGTTTTCGTAATTATGATTCAATAGCAGGTTTTCAACGGAGTGACTTCTGAATACCCTTACAATTCACCTATCTGGATAAACAAATACACGCTGTATAGGAACTCAATAAAGCCGAAGCCATTTTCATTTATTTACAACAATTCCTCTTGAGTGCAGATGTCATTTCAATTTAATTTTCAAATTTCTTTCTTCGTTTGACATTAGCTCTCACTCCCGTTCAACAGACACAAGAAACAGGTGTCATTCACCTGTAGTCAGTGTAATACGATAATTGTTCTACGCACAAACATCTAAATTAGTGGCACTTCTTATCCTTCATAATAGTTACATAATTAACTATAGATACTATCTCATTTCATTCAACGTTGAGTCATTCAATAACCCTTTATAAGAGTTCTCGGTCCAGTTTTTCATCGCAACAAATTTGCTATTACTACTACATTTAATTGTATCCAACAAGATCATGCCCATGATGCTGCATTGCGCGATTTCCTTGCATTTTGAAAAGAACCAACTGAAAATTGACAGCTAAATTTAATTACATTATAATTAATTTTCCAACTACAGAACTGCACAACGATCATCCTGTTTGACTGCCGCTAATGCCATCCAATTTCTTACATACGACGATGCCTCAAGTTTAGCTGAGCCTTTGTCATGCTTGTCGCAGTTTTTTCACACATTTATCTAACCCGAAAAAACAATCTTATGCGCATCCTGTTGTATAGTAGCCTATACAAGAGGCTCATTGATTCATGTATTACCGAATATATACATTACGCATTCAATGTGGCTACAGATTAACGGAGGCGATTAGATTTGCATGACATATTACTTATACAAGGTCAGCCGTTGTACAGCTGCTAGGTCTTTGAGCACGCTTTTAACTGTGCTCCGAAGGATTAGAGCCTCACTTGTGCCACTGCACGCCCCACCGTCACCTGCTAGACGATCGATGGCTTCTACAATTCGTTCACACGCGTCCAACTGACGGTGAGCACGTTCCACATCGCCTGCTGCGACCGCGAGCAGGATCCGTTTCTCCATAGCAGGAATATCTGCAAACGTTAAAAATACAACATTACGGTGGTTACATTATCTATTAATTATACAGTACGCATTAAAAGTCGATTTTGTTCTACCCGAAGTTTGTGGTACAAATTATGTGGTAAAGTAAAACTAAAATACGGGTAACATACATTATAGGATGTAACTTTTGACACCTTTTGAAACAGACATTGAATCTGATATTGACCTGTTTTGGTTTCGTTGCACGGGCATAATGTTATCTATCGTAGTATCGACAACTTCATACAACTGACGGGTGCAGCTTTCACATGGTTCGTTTGCGCTTCTATTATTTAATGGTACTGAACTTTGTTATTATAATGAAACGGTAAATTCTATTAGTTTGTTTCCATCTGCCATCAGTCAGAAACGAGGGTTCATTTTCTATTTCTTAACTATTGCGTCTTTGTAAGTATTCTATATCTATATTCAGTTCCGGAGAAGTAAAATTAATGTCGAACGCCTTTTAGGCGCTTTTTTTTATGCATTTGCGAGTTGTTATAGTAAGCGACAATACCATTCTCAAAAACGTTACTTTGACACATAATTTTAACAAAGGCTCGAAGTCTTCCTTAGAAATAGAACTTTGCATTCTATTGTAACACCCTGGTGTTTAAGCTGCTATACTGGGCCCTATATAAACTCACCAGTGCATATATTGCCACGGTCAATAACAGTAAAAATATACGTATATGCCATAAAAATAAACAAGCATGTAAATAATTCACAAGGGAAATCTAGTGTCCAGTAGACTTTGCTAAACTTTTATAGATGAACCAGAGGACATGGACTAAAATTATCTGTTGAACAATTTTGCATTTTATATGTCGCGCAAGCGAACGCCGGACAATAGTTTAACATAGGTAGCATAAGCTTCAGAATGCAATTAAGTGCATAAGTGTAATTACACTTATGCATTTAATTGCATAAAATACTTTAAGCATACGGCGCATGTTGTGCTCCACGCAGCACAACGTTTCAGCCGGGTTTCACAAAGTTAGAAAAAGTAAAAAGTACAAATGAACTTATCCAAATCAAAGTTTCTGACATATGTTAAAGGACAAGCGACTACAGCCGAATTGCTTGTCCTGCCTGTTGATGAGTGAGACAATCGACGAACATCTCTTTAAAGTTATTATCGTTGTTATCCAAAACGATGGCGGTTTTATTGCCCATTTTGTAGTAGCAGCGGCAGCATCGCCAGCTTTAACGACCCAATTGACAAATTCGCCTGCTGTAACATCTCCGTGATTGCCATCTATCAGGGTAACTATGCAGTGTCTTCCCCGACCTCATCCAATTTAAATTAGATTCCTAAGTAGATTGATATTAGATACGTAGCCTGTTACAGTGTTGCCATCGTAAAAAAATCAAATAGTGTCAAATCTTTACTCAAAAATTATAGAACCATGAACATGGTCGAAGGACATTTTGGCAACTTTTTTTCGCTTTTCTTTAGCTCCAACGCACTCTGCTGCTTGCCCTCACATGAGGTACAAAAAGGCAGACCAAAATTTATATCTGACTTTCCTTTCGATAGATATTGAAAAGGTCGATCTATAATGATGGCCTTTCCTGCGGCTGTAAGAGTAGTGATTCTGACACGTCAAACATCGTCAAGAGATTCTTGAATACTACCGAAATCATAATCATAGACATATGAAATGTTTTCGCAAAATTCATAGCAAAAAAAAGGTACATCAATAGTCTCTTCCCATAGAGCCCATGACCTATATTGAGAAAATGAGTACTGCACGTGAGTCCTATTTTCTATAACTGGAAGTATATGCGTGGTATTTCCTATATTATTTTCAGGGAATGAACGCACAGACTACAAACTAATTTACGCAGTTAACTTCGTCATCAGAAACTATGAAAAGTGAATTTAGATTAGAAAATGCCTGCATTCTCTTAATGAATCAGTACTCACTTGAGTCGTGGGCGATCCTCATCACCCGCCTTTCCACACCCTGCATTCCACGTTTTAAACGGGCCATTACTTCTGCTACGCGTGCTAAATTAATGAAACGTGGCGACGGAGTTATCGGCAACCCCGGAGCAAGACCAGGTAACCGTCCCTCTGTCATCGCTCGGAAAGCTGCTTGTTTTTGAGCCTGAGAGGCCCAAACACGCCGGGCATTAGAGCATGCAACGCATACGTAACGCTCTGGAACCAGCTGCTCATTTTCAATACCTTTTTGGTTAGGGCAGGAGAAATGACAAAAATCGAATATGTGAGATTGGGAATAGAACATTTATATGCCAAAGGCTGAGTTAACTATTATTTATAATATAACAGGGTCGTTGCAATAGGCTCACAGCAATTATAAAACTGCTGTCAACATGACCATCTTCAAGTAACCTACCGAAGCAGCTTCCGTGTTGCCAACAAAGGCAGATGTCACACTGCATCATCAAGCCGCTCTCCTCGTCAACGTCACACATACAATGCACCATATCCTTTTCAACGAAACTATCCTGTGGAAGCCGATAATGCGACGTGTGCGGAGACGTGTTTGTATTGCAAAAATGCTGTCCACCGGATTTTTCTGCACCAGGCGTTGTCGCTCCATCATCGTCTGAAACAGCCTGATCATGTTTGAGTGTCACATCGACCGTCTCATCTGCCTGGGATGCGGCCTCTTCCACTGACTTCTCCTTCGTTTGTATGTGTGACTCCGGATGGCTCCTGCGTCGGCGATCTCGATTGTTGTGGTGTTCTTTTTGACTTGTCGCTGTGTCGCGTGCAAGAACGTCTCCGTGGCTCGCGGCAGTGTTGGCTCGGGGTTGTGTCGTACGCCGTAGGAGTACCCCTTCTGCCTCCTGCATGCGTTCGGTTTTGACCACTTTTCGTTTCTCGCGACCCAAAACCAACGGCTCCGGTATGGGAACGAACCTGTAGCACGCAAAGGCAACAAGGAACCAATGATGCCTTGTTAACATGCTATACAGAATGTAGTACAAGAGAATAATCAAATAACAATCTCTGCCTCGCTTCAATTACTAGGGGTTTGGTTTAGCGTCAGCTTTTTTGTTCATTTCCCCACTTTGACACTGGAGATATTTAAGAAAAAAAAAAGAAAAAAGTGAAATAGAATACGGAAGAGGGTAGTTACAATACAATGTTCATTGACTTATTATTACACGAATTAATAACAGTAGTCACAGATTAAGCCTTCATAAGGTCCGCTTATCACTTATGTCCAGCGCGTATTAATCCGACAGACTAACCGATTTTGACCAACACGGCCGTAAAGAGGAGTCTTTGGTGGGACTGCGGGCGTTGTTGTTGTCGAAAGTGTTGTTATAGGTGTTGACGGCGCGGTAACTTCGGAAGTTATAAGAGTTGTCACTGTGGTAGCTAAGCACGTTGCATGTTGACCGGCCAGAATGGAGCCTTGGTCTGGTACATTAGTCGTTTGTTGCTGTGGTTCGACTTGATCAAGCTGGTGATCAACAATCGTCGCATTCGAGATATCCGTCGAAGAAGAGCTTTCGGTTCCCAGATCAGCTGCCATATCCTTCGACTGTTAATGTTCGTTCAAGTGAAAACCGTCAAAAAACTTTTACAACTTTACAATGATATATATATATATATATAATCTTGACCCAGGTCATGAATCCACACCAACAGATTTATCTAAAATATATATTTACAAGAAAGCAGTGCTAAACGTGGATTCTTGTTCAGCTGATCTTTGGCATCCAGTTGTTTGGAAATACTTTAATCGTTATATACGCTTTAACTTACTAACAGCCAAAATACAGAAAAATATAAGTAGAGAAGAGCTGGTAAAACAATTTGCAGTTTCCTCGATTATTGATCATTATGTCAACTATTACTTAGTAATCGAAAGAATATTTTTCTTACGTACCTCCTTAGCGGATGCTCCTATCCCGGACTGTGCTTGTTTAGCCTTGGCAATCGCTTCCTGCTGTTCCTTATTTCGCAAAGCCTCTTCGATTTCGTTTCGGCTTCTTCGCCCCCTACGTCGTTTGGCGGCAGGCTGATCTTCACTTGAGCTTGCTTCGTTAGCTCTGCAAACAAAAGTGCAAAGTTGTCCAAAGCATTCAGCGATACCTTGCAATGTGGATGTAAAATAAACTTGTAAATATTGCCAGATATAGATCAATAAAATATAATTGCTAGGCTGAGCCTCAGTGGCTTGCATACGTTTCCCTTTTTATTTATTTACTCACGTCTTATGAGTAGGCACCTAAATTATACTAACTTTGTACTAGGTTTACATGCATTTAAGATAACAGATTATCGAAGATTTAACTTCTCCAATCAATTTGTTTACAGAATAGATCTACAAGTCTGATCTCTGAATAGTCATATGGAACCCTTGTTAACAGAAATCTATAAACGTGACTTGACAACCCCTCCAAACATATAGAATACTTACCCGCGTTTTGGTGACTGAGGCTTTTGTTGGGATAATTCACCCGTCTCGGGAAGATTATGATAATGCTTAAGATGGCTTGCAAGGAGCTTCTCTTTACGAAAGCTTTTATTACAGTTTGGACGGGAACATTTAAATTCATTGTGGTCTTCATTAATCGTGAAGGCCTTCTTTGGAACAAGATCCTCTGCCTTCGTGACTACTTCGTAGGCCCAGCCAACCGGCGGTGCAGTGGTTGGTGGATTAACTGTGATCTGTGCCTCGGGCATAGGTCTCGTAGCCCTCGAATCTTTTGAATCGTGTAGTCGAGCCTTCCATAGTAAAAATATCGTTATTATCATGCTTCCTAGTAGTTACTTGAATAATACGACAGAATGCATAAAACAGCTGACTGACATCTAACGTAGGATAACAAGTATTACAAAATATACTTCACCTTATCATTCTGAGCAGATAGCGCGTCCTTGGTATCCTTTTCCTTTGAAGGTGAAAGTTCTTTTTCCTTTTCCTGGACTTGATCTATTGATTTTCTAGGAGTTCGTCGAATTCCTGCTCGGAACACTCCTCCAACCTAACAATTACGACAACAGACACATCGATAATTTCGAATGTACAACGATCAGTTACGAATACTATGGGCAACTGGCAATTAAACTTCGGTAACGCAGACCACTAATTATTATAACGATTATTATCCCATATTTGCGTTACGAACATTGCGTTACAGTATTATTTATTTAACCAATGGACCAACCTTCAGCTGTTGTCCTGATCGACGATTACCGATGAGGCCACTCAGTCTTCGCTGGGATGCACCACTGCTCGTCCGCGTAGTTGATCCACCTCCCGTGCGACTTTCCTTATTACTATTGCTGGGCTCCCTGCCGTTATCTTTATCCTTCGCAGTGTTATCAAATGATTGATTTTGGGCTGCTGCAGCTGTTGCTGCCGAGGCCGCCGCTGTTGTCGATCGTCGCTCACGTGGCGCCGCAGTTATTGCTGTACTGTTTTTGTCTTTCTCTTTTTCCTTGTCCCGATCTTTGTCCTTACTCTTGGTTTCATCTTCACTGGTAGGCGCTGACGGGACTGCCGAGCGCTTCTTCCGGGTCATCATCTGTCGTCGCCTTCCTCGAATATTTCTGCTTTCTGTAAATACAGTAGTAATCGAATTGCTTTTGTTCATGACATTGATCAAATCGGTTTTCGTAGATGTAAAAGGGGCCGCAGAAAACGGCTAGGCCAACGATACCACGAAATATGTCACCGTCACCGTTGGCGTATTGTTCTTTCTGCTATTCGTTCATAATCTCAGCGACCAGAAAAAGCGGCTACCACAAAATCTATCCATAGCAGTACATCAGTTGTATGCAGTCTAACCAATGCTGAGTAGCCGCAACAACAATCGGGCTACTGTTGAAGCGACTGGCCGCACGGCCATCAGGCGGCGCGGTGAGGCCAAACCAATGATGGCACGCGTGGAAGTGCATTCTTCTTTGTAACTGCAGATCTCTCTATGTATATATATGAGAGGGGTAATATTTCATTTTGGCCAGCCTTCGGCATGAAGAATCTCACAACCTCTGACTAATGAATCTCTTTCGACTTCATTATTATGTAAGCCATGACGTGAGTGCACTTGACCTTGTAGCTACACGACCTTCATGTGTACGATCTTTCTGGCCTTTACCCATCCCCTCCTTTTACCTCCCTTTCTTTGAAAAGAGCCTGGCTGGTATTGTTACAGTTACAATTGCCGGCAGGTGGCGCTAGTTAAACTGTATTTGTTTTACCCTTAGTACTGATGACTATTAGGTATGGAGGCCGCTTGGCTTCTTTGCCAGCATAAAAATCACCTAGGAGCGAAAACAACAACAACAAACACGGAGTCCATCAGTAGAAAGGAAGGTTTGTCTTAGCTAGAGTTGACTGCTACCTGTAATTGACTCAACAGGCTACAGGAAAAGGGAAGAGTGGGCTCATGAAAAATACAGGTATCGGGTCGTACGATAAAACTGTGCAACTAAGTTCAACACTGACGAGATCAATCCACAATTTACAATGGTAATAGAATTTAGAAAATAAATCGCACAGCTGCAAAGCGGTAACGTAAGACAACAGCGAAGAATACAGTTCTCTCGCGACCCAGCAGAGCGCACATCCATAATGCACGCACGCGACGTTATAGGATGTTCATTGATCGAGTTTTAGCTAGGTAAATGGATGCAGAAGCCAGCAAGAAATGCAATAATGTGGGCATGCCATAAAAACTAAGCGAATGAATGCACAAGGCACGGCCAGACTGAGTTGTAAAATTCACAAATTGAAGGAGATAACAATGTCCTCATTGTAGCTCATAATAATCATTGTTGCGGCACAACTTTGAGGATTTTGTTACTATTTCTTAACAAAATCTGATCACAATTAACAATTAAAATTACGCCATTTTGAGTCACCGTTCATTTGGTCTCGTACTGCAGTGTTTATGATAGTTCTGAGAAAAGTGTCCAGTAGTAGTAGCACTGGTTAGCTAGTACTTTTTTTCAACCATTGGTGCACTATATGGATAGTATCCGACAGGTGTCGTTCGTAATCATGCAGGTATAAAGGTGCTGTTACTAGTTACTAAGTAACATTACCGTCGCTGTCGTAATAATCTAGATTCAAAAAAACGTTTACGCTTAACAAAGTTGATTAGAGATTACAAATGCCTTCTGTTCTTCGTTGACCCAGTGTCCAGCTGAAACAGGTTTAGCTTTAGCTTTAATTACTGGACACTACCGAATAAAAATAGTTTTTGTTGAGTTCAAATCTCTAACCGACTGGTGAGAAATAAGTAATCATACTTCGATCACGGAAGAAAAGGAACTTCGTAATAAATGTGCTTATATATTTAATGTATCAGGTTATAACATGAAGTCAGCGTAACGATCGTGGAAGTTTCATCTTATGGTTAACTTATTCAAGCTGTGTTACTGCTGACATCAGGACCGCAGCTGCGTTCGGTGAAAAGGAAGCAGCACAAGAGACGTGGACGCATACCTCGATCAATCCATCGGTCGTGTCGTGGACTCCAGCCCTCGAAATGCACCAAGACTCTGTCGGAATCTGTACGGATCACGCGAACTGGATACCATACGCCGGCCTCCTCAAGCTCCAAGCGACTGCCGACCTCTAGCTGAAACTATTAAACATTATAGAGGGAACAGTACAACGGCAACGGCACATCAGTATCTCAGAATGACGAATGTCCTTTGCTACAATAAGCCCATGAAGTGAACAGCTCTAAATCAGATAGAAAGTACTTTCTTGGATCATTTTGCTGACGAATAGAACTGCATTAATATACATACAACCTATTTGAAATGCAGACCTATACATAGGTCTGCATTTCAAATAGGTTATTTCAGCTTTTATTATATTTACATACATTGATGTAAGGTAAACCAATTAATGAAACATTAATAAAATTAGTGAAACATTAATCTCAACAAGAGCTAATTCCATAAGTCTTCCAGTTTTCGCAAATAAAATAATCTCATTAAAAACACTGATTTTTTCCCATTTTGTTTTATTTAATTATGTAGTATCGGCAAATCTAATAATTAATGTACTACGTATTATTCTGTTCTTCATTAACTCACTGAATACATTTGAATTCATGTTAAATTCAGTTTTCCCCGATAGCTAATTGCAAGGCGGTTTCACACCGATTAGGAGAATTTTTTTCGGAATAAAAGCACCAGCTTATTAACGTAGACCGCCAATTATAGACGAACATTGAAAATTGCACTGGCATTATGTTACTCCAGTTTTAAAAATATGTCCGATCATGCCAACCTATAATAATGACCTCCAGTAAATTAATTGTCCTTCTAGGCACATGCAAAATCGAAATAAGTTTAAAACTTCGAATAATGAAATTGTGTTATAACACACTTAAAAGCTAACGGTATCGCTATTTGTAGCTTTCTCAATACTGCAGCTCCTACCAGTAGATTGTCTGATATATCATAAGTCCTCGTGGCCTAATGGATAAGGCGTCTGACTTCGAATCAGAAGATTGCAGGTTCGAGTCCTGTCGAGGACGGTACTTTTTTATTTTTTGATATCTTACTTTTTTTCGATAGTACTAAATAATAGGGATCAGGTACTACAATAATACTATACTATAATAATCCTACTAACTCTATACATAGTTTTCGAGATCATTTAATCATATGCAGTCAATGTGGTAGTCCCGTGTAGTAATTTTCCAATCAATGCGGGCCTTATATTAATCAGATTAACCTCTGCATTTCATTAATGAATTAAAAATACCATGAGATATAAGAAAAACGAGTGACGGCAATAAGCATAAATGCTAAGTTGCCTATTGCTCTCAAAGGTTTTCCGACAATATTACGCCCTACAAGCGGCCTGCACACTGAAGCATAAATACAATTACTGGGAGGGTGCTACCACTTGTTTCAAGTTTAAAAAATAGTCAGCTGTTTTCTTAAACCCTAACTTGTTTTTGTATAATATTCCTTTTTCATTGGGGGGGCATGACTGCGCGATGTTTGCTCTAACGGAAAGCATCTCCCCAGTATCGCTCGCTTGCGTTGCTCTATTGTGTTGTCGGAGCAGACCGCCGCCCGCCATTTCGGTACCCCCACCGAGACATACTCATCTAACTAGATACATGCGGATACGGCACGGCAGCCATGTGATCGTGGGGGTTGCGCTGGTTTAGTTACAATATTAACATTACCCGCTGTGCTGGCATTAGCCATAATAGCCAGACGGGCCTTCGTCAACAATATGTCCTAACTCGGCAGAACCATTTCTTACCCCCTGCTAGCGGCGTCTGCTGAGACGCACACGAATTTAGCGCTCATTAGAAGCGCTGGCAAAAGAAACAAACCAACGAGATGATGAGATATGCCTATGATAATTTCTGTAACAGTACAGGTAATGAAAACTGTAGGACTAGTGCAATTGTGGATCAGATACCTACCCTTGGCGCTAACATCCGGCCGCGGGCTTCACTTTCTATATTTCACACACCAGATAAGATCACCGACTCTCTATTGTAGAAGGTGGTTGTTGTTGTTGCTGTTGTTGTTGTCGCCGCCGCCGCCGCCGTCGTCGTCGTTGTCGTCGTCGTCGTCGTTGTTGTTGGCGTTGTCGTTGTTGTTGTTGTTGTTGTGCGCACACACTGCCGAGAAGACATGGCCGGATAGCCGCAGTTGCTGGGTAAGTGGCCGCTGACGGTGGTCAATCGAGACGGCCGCAGCGTTGACAACGAAACAGCAGTGGTGATCGCAGTAGCAAATAGGGTGACACTGGCAAACGAAGAATCAGCACCAGCAACAGAAACAGTTCACGAAACAAAACGACAACCAGAAACGGTTTTCTCTTTCTGAATCTTTCTGCGTGGTGTACAATAAACGACGTATAACAACACGCTGTCGACACGTTCACACATTAGCTGGCCGTCGCTTCGCAGAGGGTGATTCCACTTGATTGCGCACAATCAGACACACTTATCCAAACAAGAACAAGCACAGCAAGTATCGCGAGCTCAATATACGACGAAACGGTACGAACGCTGATAGATAATCGAGGTTGTTATTACTTTTGATATAACTTTTGATGTGATCTTGTCGACCTACCTACCGCCAGCCAGCATCCAGTTCGCAGGACGCACTACACTGCACAGGTAGCTCCTATGTCCCACAGTTTCGCAGAGCTGGCGCTCATGGAACGGAGCGCGAAACGCACACCATTGTCGGTCGGCGCCAGCAGCGGCGGTGGCGGCAGGCAAATCGAGGCGAAAGACGACAACAATAATAATAACAGCAGAGCGTACAGCAAAGCAGCAGAACGGGCAACCAACACAGGCACCGGACAGGCCGTTCTTCTATTCCTGTGAAGTCTCTCGATCGTCCCCCAGCTCACAGGGGCTTCCTAGATGGCGCTCAAGCAACTAGATGGTCACTGCATTCTACACGTAGCTAACAAGTGTGTTACGCTACTACCAGAAATGCTGCTGCTGCTGCTGCTGTTGTTGTTGTTGTTGTTATGGTTGTTGTAAGTGTCGTCTGCTAGGCCCGGTTCTAGAGCTTCATTCGCAATAAATGAACGCATCGGGTAACGCTTACAGCCGAGTGGAGCAATATACATTGGCGGCACCGAAGGCTAAACTCAAAATATTTTCGAACTTTTTTTGGCCGGATAGTTACAATCCTAAAATACTGTTTATTAGTGGCTCTGTTGACATTTAATAAAATCATGCGAAGAATTTTAAATTTTATGAGCATTTATGTATGTTTGAGGCCTTTGAATTAAACAAAAAAAAACTTTTGAAATGGGCTTAACGCAGCCAGGAAGTCTCGAGATGAAAAGATATTGTATTGAAGTATTGAAGAGTTCAGTACTTGTCTGTGCAGGCGTATTTTGCGTACTCGAACATTTACCGTGCATCCTACCTTTAACTGTAGATCTACTAACGATAATAACTAAACTGTTGGTAAATTTATTTATACTTCATGGGTCATTCGGAAATAATCTGGTCCATGAAAGCAACGGTCTTAATGACTTTAATGTATATTGACCGCGTCTTACGTAGGCGCTTCTAGCGAACTCATGCTTAAAGTAACGAGGCTCGAAATCAGCCCCGTTATGCGTTTGCCCTTTGCGTGCAACGAAGTTCTTCCTAGTAGCATGAAAGGACAAATTTGTAGATGCTTCGTCATATTATTAAAAAGCAAAGATAGAAGCAAAGCCATTAATAGTCTGTTGAATATATTTGTGTGCATACGTATAGTTTCTCTCAGTTTAGACTGTGTACAAACATAGTTAGGTTGTTCGTTTATTATTTCGACATTACGTGTTACAGAAATTCGATCCAAATTGTGCCAATAACGTACATAAAATTGCCATTCAGTTACAATGTTCCAGAGTGCTGCTTCAATCGAGATTGCAGTTCCTACCTTCTCACCTGCTCCGTTATTTCTACGACTTAATCACAGGAGTTTCACTCGACCCGTGAAAAAATTGCTCTTCTTATTTCAGAATTAAAATATTCATAAACATCTAAAAATACGATAAACGTAATTTAGTTGTGGTACCTCATAGCAGAAAAGGCGGGTGTCTTTTTTAATCGTAACAGCACATGAGCAATTCAATAAGGAAGGAGCCGAGATCTCAAATCTTCTCTGACGGAACTCAAAACCCTCATGAATGTACGTTCGCCAATTAGAATCATAATGCAATAATTTATAGGCCATTTTAATTCATAGGGAAAATTTGCTGTCCACTTCTAGACATTACGATATGAACACATGCCTCATATAGAGACATTTATATAAAACAAATTTGCTGACGCGCGGGAAGTGTTTGGTCGAACGCTGCAGATAGTGGCAGTTCTGTTAAGACAATCACTGCACCTCTATGCCTTGATGCGAATTCTTCTGTCTGATAGTCTTCGCGGCAACTGCCGCTAATCTGAGACAGTTATACGTATAATATTCTAATCATAATACGACTGTTAGTTCCGTAGACAATAAATGAAAACAGTAGAGGCGTCTGTTAGATTGCATGCAGAGTGTCTCTTACATAGCGTAAACGGTTTGAAACGTAAGTTGAAAAACTAGTTGTCGTCGAAAAGCAGAAACTTTTCAATTTCCCGCCCCGAGATTTGTGTTTGGCTTATAGCTGGTAACCAGACAGTTCCAGCTGGCGGTCAGCTTAACCAAATGGTGATCATGATCTTTATGTTATCGTATCTAAATCTACATATAAGAATGGTGAGTTTATGTAATTTGTACATCAAGTCAATCCGTCACAAACCACAACCAGCTCTAAGATCTTCGTATCTCTATTAGGCTACCACAATTTTTAATCTTAAAAGTAATTTAGAAACAACTGTGTTATCATTTAATGAAAGCCACTACTGATCTCTTTGGGCACATTCGTATCTTCTTGCAACTTCTACCTTCTAACAGTATAGCGATATAGACAAACATTTTTAATACGACTCTATAAAACGAAAATTACTAGAAAATCCAGTCGACGAACAAATCCAGCCTTCTATTAAGCATTCTGACTTTGGCGGGCAATCAGACTGTCGGCTGGCAAAAAGCATCAAGTCAAGCGCCTACTTTGGCTCCAATTCGAATCAGCCCTTAAGCCTAATCAAGTTCGATCGTAGTTTTCTTAACTAATAAATATATTCTTTGGTAAACAAAACTAATTTTTAGTAACTTTTGTGTACTAATCGGTGCCTGTTAGAAATAGGTTACGAAAAAGGACGTTATACTTTCGAAAATTACCCTCCTCTCCAAGCTGATGTAAGCCTAACGAAGTTTGGCCATCGAGACAGGGCGTTGCTTGGTCCGGAACAGGTACCACCTGGAGAGCTGCAAAGGGAGCCTGGTCGTCTGAAACACAAATTCGGTCATCATGACGGACTCGGCGGTGCCAGCGGAGCAGCAAAGCGATATTGAGAACAAGGAGGCCACCCAGGACCAACAGCCAAAAAAAGTTATCGGTAAGTTTTGCGTATTTTCTTAAAAAAATTCAAAGTTTCGGCTGTTTGATAGCCGCCGGCTACCTAGGACTCGTTCAGTCCCATAGAATAGCATTAGCGTTCTTTCAACCACCATTTTTATATGGGAGACTCCTCAGAACAACGAAGCGGCGATCTTGCTGCTGTTACTATGAGTCGGGCAATTTATGCGATATACGAAATTGCATGCATTTGTTACTGCGATTATAACGTTCGATAGAACTTAGCGTTCAGTTCTTAAGACTTGTCCCTTCAGTGTATTCTCCTAATTCCCCGGTGTTCTCCATAGATTTGCCGCTCGTTGAGGTCTATGTTTGTATGTTTCTATCTATCTGTTCATGTATATATATATATATATATATATATATATATATATGTGGATGTGTCTTAATAGAAAAGCGGGCGTTCAGGTGACGCCTTGGGCTTGCTTGGGAGTTAGCCTTGGTACCAACTTCGCGCCATTGTGTCCAGGCAGAATACCCACGACCACTGAAACGCTGAATCGCTTGATACACGATAGGCTCAAAGTCAATGAACCTCTTCATACTAGTCCCCATCAAGTGTGTATTACCTTGAATAGTATTAGAGGGCGGCGAGAGACTTCGGCGCCGAATTTACTTTCCATTCCTTTATTCCTGGCTTGTTCGTAGGGGGCTAACTGCTCTTTTTTTGTAAACATGCCCAGGACTCGTCTTTCGTCAATGTATTCCGCCCTTTCATGTCACGGAATGCGCGTGTTTGTTAAGCGATGATCTACGTAATACCGGTAGTAGCGACAGTAGCAGCATGCGTGACACTACGGTGTTCGGTCAGAGTCCAACATTCATTTTCATTTTGTAAAAACTAGGGCTGATTGACTGTTCTGTTTGATATACAGCTGCGGTATCTCTCATATCAAGTGAGATACGTATAGTCTGTTCATAGTGGATCTTGTACTACTTTGCTTTTACCAAAATGTGACTGTACACCTATAAATCATACAGATTGCACGCTGTGGCTCAATTGCAATGGCCGCAATTCACAGTCCATAACGAAGAGTGTCGACTCTTCGCGTATGTGAGGCTGCTACCACTGTCCAGCCATCGAATTGAGCACTGATCACCACGTGTCCCAGCTGTGCGCGTACCTCCTCAGTGCCGGCTGCTTATCTAACTCGGTCGCAGAGGAGGTTGATATTGCAGTGGCGATGGCTACATATTAGAAGCACAGCTTGTTCATACAGACACCGTGTCATCATCGCTAAACTCGTTCATTGGATCTTCGTCACGCTACCGTTCCGTTCTATTTCCAGGAGTCCGCTTTTGACGGCGCAGCGGCTGGCGTTGCTGTGTCGTGCGTGGCGGTGATGATGATTCGTTTAGCTTATAGTTAAGAGCTCGAGGGAGGAGGATCCGCGTTTGTAAGCACGATGTTACCATAGCGTGCTAATGCCACTCCGGCCCATGAGTTGTCGCGTTATTGAACATGCGCGGGATAGAGGGAGGGCAGTAATCGAACCATAGTAGGTAACTAATGACACGCACGCGGTTTGGATTTGGTCGTTCGCTTGGTGATAGCGGCGCTTTACATTTGACTTCATGGTCTCAATAGGGGGACATTGATTAGAATCCAATGTCTTTTTGTGTGGCTACCCTCTGGCGTTGTATAATAGATCTGACGATATGAGTTACTAACCTTAGTCGCCGGAATTACTTTCTGTATTACGGTTTATTCGAGGTTAGATGTAGTATATCTGAGAGCATAATGGGGCCGAAATTATTGAAACCAGCCAACGAATGGTGGTGCTGCGATCTCTTGCCTCGAACTGTGCCGCTTTTAGTTGTGCTGTTACAATGTGAACGGCTGTTAGAAACAAACTGACTACTGAATATAAAAAACCTCTTTAAAAAAATGTAGTAACAATGAGAGGCGCCGGTTTAGCTTCAGCAATTGTCGACATGAACGCTTAAATAGTGACAAGTAGTAAAAAATGATGTAATCTGTTGGTGATGATAATAATAGTTGCGACAGTGATGTACCTATCCATTGACTGACTCGGGCTCGTCACGGTTGGACCCTGCGCTAGTGTTTGAAAAAATTTGATTTGGTTACTGTTACTGTTATCGCTGTTTTGTCTTCACTATGGCTGTTGCTGCTAACATCGCTCTAGCTGGTATCATCATCATCAGCGCTGCCAGCGACAAAAGAATAATCATCTTCTCTTGCATTTTGCCGTTTGCCCGCTGCTTGTTAACTTTTCTGGCTCCCTGATTATTATTACGATGCTATGGGTTTGCGGCCAATACCTCCCGTCAGCATGAACATTATTAACAACCTCTCGTAGAACGCCGCGGCGGCGGTGGCGAAATCGACAGCGTGATCTGATATTGCCATTGTCACTCTCTGTCTGCCGGTGCTACGAACAGCTGTGAGCCATGTAGCTGGCTCAGCGGTGCTGAATGAAGCAGAGAACATGGCACCGTTGGTCCTCAGCCGATCTAGCGTGGCGTGGCCTGGTCTGGTCTGGTTTGCTAAGGTTCGTGCCGCTGAGCGTCTGATGACTAAAAGTGAAATGGTATAGGTAGTCTATAGTGCATTTGGGTTAGGAAGTAATGATAGTTAGTACCAGTTGCTGTGCTGCCGGCTACTGGCAAGCCTGTTGATGTTCGTTCTGCGAACGACACCGCTGCCGATGGAAGTATGGCGGTATTCGTAAAGAAGAAATAGCTAGGGCGCTAACACTTACTGACCCCAAACGGTTACAATGCGAATAGCTACAGCGTTCTATAGCTGAAGATATCTAATGGGTTAGTGCCACCCGAACGGTTATAGGTAATTGTAATAGACAACGAAAAGGCGGCGCGAGGGAATGATTTCCGGCTTTACAGCTTTTGCTTGAAGGGAACGCAAACCCGAGATATCGCTTCATTTGGATTATTCTGTGCAAAACTGTTCTTGGTTTACTTTTTTATTGAATCCTACTGTGGTTAAGCTATTAATGTAACCTATCGAAAGTCCTGATTAGTTCAGAATGCAGGCAAAGTCTTCGTTGTGAGTGCAGATATTACGTATAATTCATTCATTCGTGTAAAAGCGTATGTAACGGATCTGTCCACGAATCGTTCCCTAAGTTACCTACACCTCTGACGTCGTTTGAAACGGAACCTCGAAGCCATAACTAACTAAAATCTTCGATAGTAAGGTCATAGCATCTTAACACACATATTTAAGTTAACACACATAAGGTTAGGGAAATACGCTTTAAATTGTTAAATCGAAAACATCTACATCGTATCAAAAAAGCTTGTGTTTGGCCTGCCCCAATTCGTAACACGCGGGAATTTCATGGTACCATCTGTTATAATGTCGAGTTTGTTGTGTGGTATCCACATGAGACCAAAAAAAAAGCCAGACGATATACTAAACCAATCCTCAACAGGTTCTAGGATGATATCGTCATCAGTTGGCAGTTGCAACTTCTTGGATTCGATGAAATCTTGATGAAAACATGCTCCCCTAAAACGCACTAACTAAGTTGCCCAATGAATCTAGCGGCGATTGTTGCCAGCAGTGGGCATTTCAGGCGTTTTTTGGTTACGGGTCAATCCTGACATAGTGCGCAGTTGATGGTGACGTGAGATGCCGCCACACAGTGGCCATGAATAATGGCAACAATTGTACTGGCAGCGGTAATCAGCTTTTGTAGCTCTATTTTGTTACAGAATAGCTGCAGCTGTAGTTGTTGCTGTGGCTGCAGCTGCAGCAGAAGCAACTGTGATTAAAGATGGAAACCAGAGCATGAAAGGGAAGTTGCTTGTCGACGATTGTGGCTATTTGGTCGCTGGAGGACGGCATGCCACTTGTTCATTCTTCAGGAAGAGTGATTTCACTCCAGGTAAACGCTGCTACTGCCGCCGCGATTATTTTTGTGATCGAGTCGGTAACGTTGCAACATGGAACGTGCAAAAAAATAAGAGAAGTCGTAACAGAAGCGCCACCTATAAGGGTATGATCACTGAGGGGAAGGGGGGAGGAGGCTGGTAGAAGCAACAGACGACGGGAGAAAACTTTACCAGTTGGTCGGTTTGGGTCTGTTTGTAAGCCGTTCAGTGGGCTACGTTGAAGTTGGTTTGGGTCTGTGTGTAAACCATTCAATGGGCTACGTTGAAGTTGCCACTGGCGAACACAGCATCTGCTACTACTATATTCCTATTGCTTCGTCCTACTTCTTCGATGGGAGGCTGTAGTTCCTACCGTTTTTGTTTCGTGTGTCTGTATGTGTGGTGCTAAGTATAGCGCAATATAGGTTGGAAAATAGCAGTGGCGGCTGAAGCACTGGCCAGCTTTACCGACGCCATGCCAATGCTGTCACTACAAAGATGTAGCTTGTTGCTACAACTAATGTAACTATAGCAACGTAATTATCATTTCGATATGACTGCTATTTACTGCATGAACGTTTTTCTATGACGATTCAGACGTCAGCTGCCTCCATAGTTTCATGCATAGGCGTGATAAACGCAATTGTGCTAGTAAAGCTGAAAGTAAACACTCTGCGTTATCAAAGTTCTGCACAAACGGCAACTTCGACGACAAGCGAAAAACAGCGCAAGAAGTGTTTAAGACGCATAATATTAATGAGCATTTACAGCTGTTGTTTATCCATGTCCATTGCGGACATCGCTTCGAACTAACGGGCCCGTTTGATCATTTGTTCGTTTTGTTATTGACTCTTCTACTCCTTCGTTTAGTCATCCGTTCGCTGACCCCATCTGCGTCTCGTATACTTTTCTAATCGACGAAGCGGATCTGTTTTGTCGACATATCGAAGTTACGAACACGTCAAGTGTTGCCTATTAGCTTTAAGCAGGCTCCACCTGTCAGGGAAAGGAGTTACCATAGGTATGTGGACTGAACCGTCTTGTCCCGCCTCTTTGTAAAAAATTGTAATTGAAATCTTGAGATTTTTTTAGTCCGACTCCGATTTTCTTCGATTTTCTTCATGTCCCGATTGTTGAAATTTAGAGAGATCAGTAGTTTGCGCACGGCAAAATTAACTTATTGTTGCCAAAGGGCGTTTGATTAAGAAATCTCAATAACCTAAGTTATGGTCTCCGCGGGTTAAAAGACAGGTTCCTCCTGGAGACAAACAATGCTACTGACTAAATATAAAATCCGAAATATAGCATGGTTAAGACTGGTTTCTTTTAAGCGAAATCGTAGTGTTTATTTTGCATTTCCCGTTTCTTGGACTTTTGAATTTGTTTAGCGGAGCGCGTCCGCGGCACGGTGAAATGGTTCAACGTGAAGAACGGCTATGGCTTCATCAATCGAAGCGATACCAAGGAGGACATCTTCGTCCACCAGACGGCCATCATGAAGAACAATCCGCAAAAGGCAGTTCGCTCTGTGGGCGAAGGTGAAGATGTAGAATTCGATGTTGTCCTCGGAGAAAAGGGCAACGAGGCATCAAATGTTACTGGACCGGACGGTGCCCCGGTCCAGGGCAGTCCGTACGCGGCTAATCGTCGCAGTGGCGGAGGTAACGGTGGTGGGGGACAGGGCTTCCGTGGCGGCCAGGGCGGAAGATACTCGCAAAGGCGTCGAGGTCCGCCAAGGGATCGACGGGGCCAGGGCAAAGGTGATGACAAAGAAGAAGGCTACGAAGACGACGACGGTGGCGACCGACAGTCTGCGCCTAACCGTCGCTCTGGCGGAACCCGTGGCGGACGCGGAGGCGGTGGAGGCCGTGGTGGTTTCCGCTCTAGCGGCATGAGGCCCGTTCCACGAAGGCGACGTGATGATGATGATGGCGAAGGCGACGCGCCGCGAAGGTAATGTGCTGCAGCTGTTAAGTTTCTTGCCATTTATTGTCGGTACGTTTGATTTAGCTTTTGTAGCTACATTTCCTATTATATGGTCGTGATATTGATATAACATTTAGCCGTAACTCGCATGAAGTCATATTCTTAGCATGAATCGTCTCACTTCTCCGCCTCCTTTTCTCTTAAGATAACCTTACTGCGGTCACTAATGTTTGAGCTTCAGACCACATCTGCAATTGATATTTTTATGATCACTGGAATTGTTGTGATACCCGCGGAAACTGTTAATTTCGCACCATCAAATAATCCCGGCAAATGATTACAGGGATGGTGGCGGCCGCGGAGGCGCTCGTCGTGGTGGCGGCGGGGGTGGCTATGGAAGTGGCGGCGGCGGCGGCTACGGAGGTGGCGGTCGCGGCGGTGGTGGTGGTGGCGGAAACCGAAGACCACCGACCAGGAGGCCCCCCCGCTCCGATAACGAGAACGACTACGATGGAGGTTAGTAACACGTAACTTCCAATCATTCCAAGGAATGTATCGGCAATACATTGATTAGATAAGATATACTCAATATGCATCGGAAACAGAAAATTCATACTCAGGACACAGGTCACTGTGGTCTAGCGACCTTGGAAACTATCAGTGAACCGAATGGTGTATGGTGTTCAGTAGTGATGGGGAAGCATCTAAGGGGTTAACGCGCAACGACGTAAGGTTCGCTACTGAGGATACGTCGAATAGGAAGCTTGTTGTCCGCAGCAAGGACTATCAATTACTGTCATTAGATAGTGGCTCATAATCAATGCTGTCATAATCAATTGACCACCCTCAAGGTCGTCACCCCCCCCCCCCCTGTGTACGTGTGAGGCAGTGTGTGGTAGATACTAAACGTTTTTACAATGTGTTTTGGCTTCGCTCACTTTGTACTCGGTATCACCCTATTTCTTATCGTTTTTTTTACTAAATTGTGTATCTTCTACAGAGTTCCTAATGGGCTTTCTCAAGAATACGCCTGAAGAAATAAGCTACTGCTATACTATGAGTACTAACCTCAGCCGTCGATGTACTCGTTGCTGTGTACGCTATGGCCATCCAGCTTTGCCAGGAAGGTCCGGAATTGGTCTTAAGAGGCCAGCCGCTTCTTCTCCCATTATTGCTTTTGATCTTGGTTTGGTTTGCCGCGTTCTTCGTTTTCCTCTCCACTGAAATTGTTCGTAGCGTAAATTCGTTAAATTTTTCGTGTTGTTGATTTTGTTTTGTTTTCCGTTCTGTTTTTTGGCTCTCTCCTCTTGTGTGTGTATCTCTGAGAAGGTAGAGACGGCAGGTATGTCAATGATGCCGAGAATCAACAACAAGCTACCGAATAGCTAAGCGACCCCCCGCCAAGGCCCATGCGATTCAGAGGGCCGCAACCAATGAAACGAGAGTGAGACCACAGAGAGAAAGCTATCTTTGACGCGCCTTTGATGTGGCGTGCCCATGGTGTTGAGCCGTACGCGTAAAAATACGATTGTGTCAAGGCCGCTCCGCTGTGACATCCTCTCGTCTGGTCACTCAGCCTACTCTGACCACCCGATGATTGATGACTATTAATGACGATGGTGATGATGGCGATAAAAAAAAATATGATGATTATCACGACATGTATTATAAAAGGAAAAGTCTCACGAAAAATAGATTTGCATGGGGGAAACCAACGAAATACCAAATTACCGCCTCTATTCGAGCTATTTAAATAATCCGACAATCGTAACGGCTATTACACACGACTACCGTTAATTATCCCTGTCCGCTATTTCTAAAACCGAATAACGTTATCATTGTGATAAGAGATCCAGTGAGATTGGCATGTCTGCAATCATGCAAACAGCGATACAGTATACACCGAAGGGGGGTGGTACGTAGAAAAAGGAGGGGTACGTAGAGATCGCTGTTGCGTGTTTTCATACCTAATGGGATGACCTGTGTTAATAGGTCTGTTTGCGTATGAAAGTGCCATCAACTGATATGCCAAGTGGGTTATAAGGGTACATTAACAAACTTTTTACTTTAATATAAATCAGCAGGGGTAGCAACAATGACGGGTGCAACCCGGAGATATCTACCAACAGTGTCACTGTATTACTTGGAGCTTGTGACACGCCAGTGGACTACGAGTTAGCTAAACACAGCTTAATTTACATAAGAACAAAAGGAACAGCATTGAATTGCTGCAAATGTGCACAATACAATGCAATGCATTATCCATTATTATGCAATCTAACTTAAAACGAAATACAAAACTTAGTTTTTTTGCAAGCACAGTTCGTCTCTGCTGTGGTTGCTTCTCGCAGTGACTGATCATCATCATCGCCATGTGACAAGTTGTCTGTTAGGTGTTCTGTCATGGGTTTACAATGTGTTCTCCCATAAAAGAGGAAACGCAAATAAAAAGTACAACGGCCAAAACTTCTACAATTATTTACACCACAACTCCATCGATCACCACCGAGTATCACCATCAACTATTTTCTTATTACTACTAATACACGATTACCATCACACGGACACTGCAATATCCTGGTAACCTGAAGCGCACGGCGCGAAAATTTAAATTTAATGAAATAGTCAAAACAGCAAACACAAATGGTGTTAGGTGCTTAGAGAAGCACACACGATTTGTGCAGCGCAACCTGAGCAATTTTCGACGGACACTTAAAGGCTTCTGATTGATGGATTGATAATCATAGCGGTGACTGGAAATGCGCAGCGGTATTCCGTCCTCGTCGGCGGTCGTCAAACGCAACAGTTGCGTGCGCCCCTCGTGTTCAAAGCGTCGTCAATAAAGGGGGCGCCATGCTGGCCTAGTTTTTTTTATCGCATCACATAATCGATTCGTATTCTCGACAACATGCGATTTATTTGAGCAAGCAAAGAAAAAACAATTATCAAGCGGAAAAATGTTAACTTTTATTAATACATGGAATCAACCAGATGCGAAATCTTTGCCAGCAAACGTCTATAATGATGTACTTAAACAAAGACTCAGAGAACAGTACTTTTTATTACCACTATTTACGTAAATATCAAAATAGAAACCAATAATGAGCCTCAATAACGATTGCGAGCGTGAATGTGGATCAAGCGGAGTGAGCGTGTGCGTGGGGCCCAGGCTAACCACGAGCGTGCCTTAGTTTTTATTTTATACGTTTACACTACGGGTTCACCATTGTGTATATATTGTGATAGATACTTCTGCAATAGCTCTTCTTGACGAAATACAACTTCGTTTATATGCATTTTATTCCTTTTTTATACCTAACAACAGTTGTGACGTGTGAACGCGGAGGTAGGAACTCCGGAAGGTTTCCTGGTTATTATACTCAACAGTTTCGCCTTTGCCCATCTAGGAAGTGCAACGGCAGAAAGATAGAGCATTTTGATAAGCAAAATTGGATTAGTTACAAAAATTTTATAACATAAACTATTTGTGAACTGACACAATTCTCAATTCATGTACGTGTTTGCATTTGGTTCCTGTTAATACGACTTCGATCAAAAAAATAAGCAATTTGTTGCAAAACGATCAATAAAAAAACATTTCGCATAAAAACAAAGAAATTTAAATGAGTATTTTGGACCACGGTCTTTTCGATTCTTTATTAAAAAAGCCGTTTCCGATGATATATCGTCCTTAATTAGAGATAATACTTATAAAAGTGAATAAACAATTGTTGGAACAACGAACATCTACGTACTCTGGATTATTTCTTAGGTTATTATTAATTGGTATGTGTAGATGTTGATATACGTAGCAAGTAATAAAGGTCCAATACAATCTGGCTCTAATATGGTCTGGCTAACCAAAAAATTCAGGCTCAAATAGGCGACTTAATGAAGGTGGGGTTTCCCTTATGTACACAGCAATCATCGTTGACCTTTGAAAAGTTTTCAGCTGTAATTTTGCATCAGTATAACTTATAAAATATTTTATAATTGTTTTGATGATTATTAGAAAATATATCATACAGATTAGTATATAAGCATATAGTTGGAGTTACTCGCAGTGCTAAAGTCACCTATGATTACAAAATGCAAGTACTTTTATAAATGATGCCTGTGGTACATCAATCGATAGTGTGTCTGTCCCCTTCTGCCGGTAGCGCTGTGGACTTAAAACAAGAAGATCCCCACTATATGTATAATATGATATATATATATGATGCCTGGTAGTCATAATTATCTTCGTTATAGAATATGGTTTCTAAAAAAAAATGTATCTTAAGCTTCATCGTTATATTCATACATAAACCTATGTACGCGCATGTTCTGCGATCCTCATCGCTTTCGATTGTTCGTTAATACTGCTAATATTATTAGTGTAAGAAGTGTGGCCTTGTCGTTGATCCTTGTCTATAGCTTGCGGTGTTCTTGTGTTCTCCATTGTATTTGTTTCGTGTACTTTGGCGTTCGTATCATGACGAATTGCAGGAAGCGACCGTGACCGAGATCGCGATGATGGTGACAGGCCACCGCGACGTGGCGGCCGAGGAGGTGGCGGAGGCCCACGCCGGGGTGGTGGTGGCGCTCCCCGCTCCGGAGGTTACGGCGGTGGCAACGGAGGCGGTGGACGACCATCTGGACGTGGCGGCGGTGGACGAGGCCCGCCTCGTGGACGTGGAGGCCCAAAGGATCACAACGGCGATGCCGGCGACAACTAGTTGAGGGGGCAGACGAAGCAGTAGATCAGCGTAGTGGTGTGTGGCCAGCCCCGATCGTCCAGTTCGGTGCATTCGACGATAAACAGAGACGCAAAGACGAGAAAAGATCAATTCTATTACTACTAGCGAACAAGCACCACTTGGCGGTCAGAGGATGGATGCCACCGGAGGCATTCGGGTGCATCGGGCAGGTAGTACGCCGAACGCGCAGCTTGTCACCTCTGTTGTCGTCGGAACAGCATTTCCTTGGCGATCCCTTGGTTGTTGAAGACAGGGCAAAATCAAGCACAGAATATAATAACGAGGAACGACGGTAATAACAGCAACATTAACAATAATTCTAACATCAGCAGCAGCAACAACAGAAATCAATTTCACCATAATTTCAACATCCACCTAATTCACACGGAAACGACACCGAGAAAACTGACTGGTCGAAGCCAAATGACTTGGAAGAAACGAGTTCAAAGAACAGGACTAAACAACGAGTGGATCGGACAAATAAAAGAATATGGCAATGGCGCATTCAGTGAAAATGAAGAACGACAGGAAAAAAGGAGGTATAGATGCTTAGCATGAAGCAGGAATATAGAATGAAGAAAGCAGAAAGGTGATGATTCAGTGATAAAACAGAAGATTTAGTTCTGCATGCCCCCACGAACACGAGATGACCAATCAAATAAGAATCCACAAATGGATAGACTGAGCGATCAATGATGAATAAAATGGCCCTGATTTGTCAGGACGTCAACACTTTCACAGGGCTAGTGCCGTCATTTTGCACACATCGGCAATGTGAATAGCGACGATGCGACAAACGTGACCGCCTTTTCTAAAGACGCAAACGGAATTTTTCGAAATACATCGAGCGAACAATGATCGTTCAATCTGTCCATGCACCGATATCCCCCGGGTCCAATCAAGCAACAAAGAAAAAATAACAAACACCACCGTATTATTACTTATTACCAACTTGCTGCATACTTGTACACCAGTAGAAGCTGTTTGACGCATACATATTACTACAACTCATATCTGTGCGTATCGTAATATGGGGGTTACTTAACTGACTGCCAGGTATACCCCTTCCCCCCTCCCAAAGCTGACAGCTAGAAAGAAACGAAAAACTTAACATTCATTGCTGAATAACAAAAAAAAAAAACAAACATCGATGCTATCTACTTTAAGAAATGGAATAGCTGAACAAAAGCTGAGTTGGCTCGTATCAGGAGCTCAATTATCAACGTTGGACAGGGCATGCAACCACGCTAGTGCCATAATGATGACGGTTGATGATAATAGTTACAACAGTAACAAAAACAGAAAGCGTTGTGTATACCGTATAGCAAATGTCAAATATAAGAATAGTTCAACAAATGTCGATATTGAGGAAGAGAGACAATGCTCTATGAACACTACTGCAACAATCATTACCCTCAAATTGATACATTACCGCAAATCGAAAATACGATATAACTTCTACACTTACAACGCTGCCGACATTTCGAAGTCTCATGTATGTCAACTCATCATGGCTTCCCTCCCACGGACTGATACGCGAACACCTGAGCTGGTTGACAGTAGAGATGTTTTATAAAATCTAAGCCGAGTATATAAACACGAGTAGTAACGATAAGAATATATATACGTGACAACGTTCAAACCCGCGCCGCGCCGGGTGACGTCCCTGTGCACTAGACAAACTATTCGTTTGTGTAGCACGTTACTTGCCGAGTTGGCTGGTATGATGTCCGCCATGGCTGTACTGTAAGCCAATGGCGGGTGACAACAACGGAACGTAGCGTGCAACAAACAATAACCAGTAATCGCATCAAAAATAGCCCGCGCATCGGATAACAATTTAAAATGCCGAGCAAACTGCCTCCACTACTATACATGTCCTCTATGTCACACCATGTTAATCGTAGCGGGCAACAAATAACAATAATACGAAAATAGATTTATAAGCAGCAGCAGCAACAAGCAAAACAGATATGTGTCACCAACTTACCATGAAAACGTCCTAGACAAAACGAAGAAACAAATGTAATTACGATATCAAATACAATGTCCATCCTCTGCCTAAGCTCCAGCTTACAACTATCAGATATACCTGTAATTACTGCTATCACGACTAATGGTGATATCATAAATCTTACTATATTGAGCACCACAAACCAGTGATGTTAAGCTATACCAAGCGTATCAGAACACATCTGTCAATGTGCTATTGAGATAATACTGCTGCAGCAGCAGCAAATAATAATATCTAACTATATATCGAAACAAACAGGAGCCAAACCGCGGCAGCGTGCAAACTACTACTATCCTATTATCATGTAAGGAGTATCGCACATTAAATCTTTGTTACAGTAGCGCCGTGCGATCCGCCGCTTCGCAGAGTTGAACCTAGCAGACGAAAAAGAAGCCGTATGCCGCTGTTACCGCCGAAAAATAAACGTTTCGACAGCGTTCGGGGCTCGTCAACGGCGTTATCTAGGCACCTTCCTATTTTCGCCCCAAAGGCGGTTTATATCAACAACATGCTTGAATATATCGACCCGCGCACTTGGCTAAGGCTCCATTTAGACAACCAGAGAGTGATCTAGCGGTGAACAGAAGAGGGAAATTTTGTCGTGAGATAAATCACATGTCAGTCGAGACTTCGGATTAGGCGTTCATTAGAAGGTTGAGAAGGGTGATGAACACAATGAGCCGCTTTGCTAGCCTATAAGGATCTGGCGTGTCTCACTTGCATGGTAATGACGAATTGACCTATCTGTTAACGTATCGCTGCCCGCTCGCTAGTCGTCAAGAATATACGAATGTGGCAAACAACATTGACCTTAAAACTAAACTAACTTCGCATGGAACTCTGCGACGGCATCGCCGTAGGGAATAAAGACAAGTAAGACCTATTAGCCCGATCAACAGACAGTCAGTCACTACAAGAACATGTAATACAAGATATACATACATTAATGATTACGCTGATAATGATGGTAATATCGAAGGAGCCAGTGAAATGTCTCTTTATAGAAATCAGCCCATGATGATGCAAACATGTACGCGCTGCGCGCACGCCCGCTGAGGACCTTTAACGCTATGAAGAAATACTGCAATCGACAAATGATGAGAGCACTAAAAAAATTACTGCGAAGTTGAATAGCGCACGATTCCCAATAACCGATCGGAAGATGACGCACAGAATGATACATTGGATTTGATACTAATATCTGGCAATCATTATATATTTGCATAGTTATTGCATGTTCTTTATGCTCAGTGTGATCCCGGATCTTGCTTCTGGCGTTGTCTAGGGTTTTACCTCCGAACTAGGCTGGCTAGCTGGCTAGTGTATATTCGAGAAGTCGACAGTCCGACAGTGCGTCCTCAGCGGGCGAAGGCCGCTCCTAACTGCAACAGGACAGAAGCATCTATTGTACCACGCGATAGCCAAACAAGAAACAGAACAAGCCACACAACAAGCTAAGCAGCCACTTAATATCGAGTACCGCCCGCACACCCGCCGAGACCGCGTCAAAACCCGTTGCCCGTCAACCCAGTTCGCTGACAATTGCCGTACGGTAACCGTCTGGTAGGACACTGTGCATCCGCGTCTGTATGGCGTAGCTTGTGCTCGCGATGCCATCGGTTTTGCCGCGGCGTCGAACCGGCGAAGGGCCGACGGGCGGGGTGCTGACCGGGTGTTACAACTTCACCATCAAATATACAATAAATAAAAACGATGTAAGGCAAGCGCATCCCAACAAAAGGTAACCATGTTCCCAGAAAGGTCGTGATGAACAGACAAACCGAGAACTTTGATCTCCCTTTGGTATGTACGCGGTTTCCGGAGGCGCGCGGGCCCAGACCTGGCCGCCCTCTGCCGCCGATAAAGTAGGACAAAACAACTATCGATAAACTATACGAAACATACAGATTCTACTACAGAAGACACCAATCTACAGGCTCTCCTTTTAAACGATGATGATTGTGATGGTGAAGATGATCCGGACCAAGCAGCAGCAACAGAAGCTTAAAGCAAATGACGACTGTGAAGATACCAACGGACCAAGCGATTTTAGGTGCGGCGACAGGCCAGTTGGAGGGAACCTAACGGAAGCCTCCTGCCTATCCTGATTGCTCTCCACCAGGAACGGCATCATACATCATCTATTTAGCTCTTCCAAACGACCGGCAAAAGATGGGAAAACCTGCGTACGCCGTGAGCGCGCGCCGGCGAACTGACCGCAAATGCATTCAGACCAAAGACAGAGTATTCGAAGAGAACAAGTCAGTAACCGACTGACTTAGCTTACGTACAGGTAACCAGCCAACAGCGAGTCTCACAGAACAACTACCATGGTAAAATCAAGAGATGCTATTGCTACTTCTGGCCCATGAAAAAACCGAGGCATACAGGCACAACCTATTTGTAGTGTGATAGTGGCGATGCCCTTCGCTAGCCACCGTTGCAGTCAGTAGTCGTGAAGTACAAACAAGCTTACCGAGTGAGTTTCACCTCTTGTAGACCTCTCCACACAGATCGAACAGCAGCAACAAAACAGCAAGCAACAGCCCAACCAAGAAATAGCGAGGATCGTTCTAAGCTTTCCCACATATTCGAACGACAACAGAAAACCCAACAGGACCTTTTAATCAACAGCGTATGGCGATGGTAATGACTAAGCAGCAACAATGATCGACGCCCGAATACAGAACGCGGACGAAAACACGATAAGGTCTTCGACTTCGTGAAGAACCGGATGCGCTTGCCTTGATCAATCAACTATTGAAAAAAATTACAAACAAATAATAACGTACTGTACGTAACGTAACCACCCTACCAACAAACAATCAACCTATTGCTATCAAACAGTGTAAACAAACAGACTTAAGAAACAAAAGGTATAAAAACGCAACGGTAATAATCGTCAATGTCACATAAAGAGGAAACAAAAAAAAATACACACAATCAAAAGTCTCGAATCTTCTGATGGATAATCAAAACACCGCATCAATAAATGCCAATATCGAGAAAGATAACGAAGAAAATCTTTAAGTCTTCAATAAGGAAAACAATCGAGGAAAATTACGTTAATAGACTGATTCAATCAAATCGCTTTGATCTCATCTATTTGGTAACTGACAGAATTGATTATTCTATTATACTGAATACTGCGATATCAATTCAATACTCGTAAAATGATACATCGTAGTTTACCAATAACAGTAAACTATAATAACGGTTTCGGTATAGTCTCTCTCGCATGGTTATCTATTATGTATTTTATCATGAACCATAATAATAATCTACATATTTTATGCGTCATATCGTATGTTCGCGTGTCTGTGTTTAGATAGACGGGCGGCCAATACCTCTCGTTGCCACGGCGCCCACGCGCTAACGAGCCGCTTTCACAGTTTTCATCCGATATTGGCTGACTCCCCCTGCCAAGGTTCCCTGTAAAGCTTATATATATATATATATATATATATATATATATATATATATGAGGGAGTGCCAGCTGTCGGAGAACGCCGTCTGCTGAGTCGATTATCTTGTAGACGGAAGACGATTGCTCGAACGAGAGCTGTCCCGTACCCACCTATACGCGTCGTACTTATTTTGCACGCACTTGGGATTTAGACTGGGAAACACAACGCAGAACAGCAGGTCCGGACTCCAGCAAAACAGCAGCAGATACCAAGCAAAAATAACCATATATAATTTACCGAGAGAGACAGTTAACAAGGGTACCAGGAATATATCTGTGGGTTGTTGGGGCTGCGTCTTCTTCAACACAACATACTTGGGAACTTCGACACTTCCGCTTTAATATACTCTTCGAACATCAACTCAACGATTAAGCAGGGAAGTCTGAGCAGGCACAGGATATCCATAGATGGCAAAGCCACTCACATCTTCGAATGAGCAACACCAATTAAGCAAAATATAACCAAGTGTGTTATGAATACGATAACAATAAGATCACCAACAATACTAACGAACCTAATGTCGAGGCTCCCTGTAAGAGAACGTGATAGCAACAACAAAATACCGATTTAATAAAACAAAAACATAACAAAAGTTGATTTAGAAAAGGAAGTGGTCGAGCTTGTTGATGCTGAAGAGGACGCAGGTGACCGCGACAGCCAACGCCTATAAAACTCTGAAATACATAGAGCAATGCAAATTAATAAAAAAAACTGTTACAGAATATATATTTCTCGCAACTACCAATCAATATACCATACGAATCTAAAACCCACAGTAAAAATGAACATCACAAGCATCAAACGCAAAAGCCGAACGAATAGCAATTGAACTATTCTATTGTTGAGCGACGCGAAAGATGCCGTCAAGACAACTACACGCAGATATTAACCAAACGAAACAACTTACGACGACAACAACAACAGGTCATCTCACGCAACAACAACAACAACAACAACAAAATGAGCAAGAGTTAAAAACGACCAGCAACACCTTTGACAAAAAACTGAAAAATGAAAAATAAATGTTTGCATTTCCGGAACGCGGCTCCCTTCCAAACAAGTTTCTAAGGGGCACAAGTATGGAAAAGCAGTTTATTTTCGAAAATCAAGCGTTTTCATTAGTATTACTGATACAGATAATAATTTTATCTTTGAACAAGAAACGTTGCGTAGGCCTATTAAATATATGTGATACAAACAAAAAAACGTTTAAATTCGTTACCCCTATAAAAATTGCAATCTCATTTTTTGCATGCTGAAAACTTGGACAGAATTTTTTTTATAAAACTGTGTAACAAAAATCTGTCGTTGCCAAATTTTTCTTCGTAGATTTTATCAAATAATATTGTTTTATAATATAGTTCTATAATATAATAGTAGATTTTTTAACCAAAACAAGAGTACGATTTAACGATTTCAATACGCCTCTTTTATTGGTATAAACTACACCACTGAAATTAAAAAAAAAAAGGCTTTGTGGTATATGTGGAGGGATTGGAACTTGTTCGTTTTCTGTTCTTATGGACTGCTTATGAGATCTACGGACGCACGGATTTCGTGCATCCATCTAGAGACCTTTTGTGTTCACTAACTTATCACCTTAGGTCGAATAAAAATACGACTTCGCGATAAAAGGAAGTGTAGCCCCATTCATTTCGTCAACAGACCCAATTTTTTTGAATTACGTTTACTTTGTTTGAATTACTTTGTTTAGGTAAGTATATCTCGTTCTCACGACGCCGCCAGTCGCCACCGTCCACAGCGCTCTGCAACATTTTATGAAAACAATACTCATCATTTAACAGCATATTTTCAGTTCATTAGCTTATTCGTGATGTTTTAGTAAACTGTAATAGCCAAATCTGTCAGACTTTTATATTGTATGACTTTTAAACTATACGCCTCGAGCAAACGAACTTCGGATGATAAATACCTCAGTCCTCTAAGAGTTTGTGAGTGAAAACCGAGCTTACTCAAGTATTCAAATTTGGATTCAAAAAGAAAAGTCCCTCTTAACTTCAAAAGTCAACTCTGAGTAGTCAAGTTTTTGTTCCTCAAGGGCCACTGCGCTGCGGTAATTCACTGAAGATCAGTGAAGATATTAGGTAAGGAGGCCTTAAGGTCCGTGGTGACGTTTCAGGAACGGAGTGTTGGACACTAGCGAAGAAGTGATTAGGAGGATCCAAAGAACAAGGACGCACTGCTGCAATCGAGTAGGTTTTCGACGAACGCAGAGCTTAAGATTCAAGGACTCTATCGGCCAAAACTGGCACATCACTTGTTAGAACAGAATTATAACCTAAACACTAGAAACGCGGGAACTGGGTAAAAACGGGAATTAACTTCGGGCCAGTTAGAAATGCATGTGGTATATTTTACGTGCGTTTAGCAGAACTTCAATCGGCAAAAAACGGCCTGGAGCATACGGTCGCCATAGACGAGGCATGTTTGAATCTTAGCGCCGGCTGAAGAGAAACCAAGCAAGAGAATAGCGTCGCTCTGAAGAGAAATTGAGTTCGGTAGCAATGTTGAGTTTGTCCACAAGTTTGTTCGTAAAGTGATGATAATATCTGCAATGGATATCAAGTCTACCTGTAACCATATATGGCTAAGATAAAACAATGAACGCAGCCCACTGTCTTACCTTTTTTAAGAAGCTCGTGGGCTCTTGGCACGGCAATAGAAAGCACACAATCTGGTTACTAAATGACAATGCCAGAACTCACCTGCATGCTGTAATTAGTTTTTGGATTTGGAAAAGGAGTATTCAACCCGCTACAGTCTAGCAATAGAAATAAGGATAGTACTTCTAACACATATCAAAGAATTATCATTCTAGCCCAACTAGTTCACAAGTTACTCCATTTCAAAGGCCGCCGGATTTGCTTGTAACAGCTCAATACATACTTTGATAGGTGTCGGTTACTGTTTAATACAAACATAACAATGAAGAAACACAGCTTCTCAGGAAACATCAGAGATTGCCAAAATAAGACTGGCATCTGTTGTTCCCGCTTTTGATCCCGTAGGGGTGATTCGATCAGTGTGGCGTCATGAATACTTAAATCTATCATCCATTTTAGTAACGGATTATGATCGTTTGCTCTATTGCTTGCAGGTTCTATACGGCAGGTTTCTGTAGACTAATTTAAATACAATGTTCAATCTCGGTATTTCCAGTAACGGTTATGTACCGGTGGAGGGGTCTGTAACCAAATCGTGTTGGGCCGCAATAAACAGGTGTTTTTCTCAAATTAAATAGTACAAATTATAGCAGCTATACAGGCCTATAATTTGCAATATTGATCTCAAGTTTTTTTTTAATCGGGGTTGTAATAAGTTGTCGAAATAAATTAGGTGCACGAGAGACCGCATAACACCCTTTGAGGATTAGTTCAATAGGCTTGACTAGGAAAAGAGCGAGCTTTTGGTATGGCAGTTTTTTTCAGAAGTGTAATTATGTTTTAGCTTTAGATGGCCTAACGAACTAAAAAAAAGATCTTAGAGGAAGTAACGAACAAACCAGGGAACGATTGGAAGGCTAATTTTTACGTGTAGGAAGGATTAGAGAGACCGAAAAAGGTGGCCGAGATAGAGAAGAGAAGTGTTCGGTAAGTAGATATGCTCTTTTTGTGCAGGAATAAGCGGTGCGACATGTTTATTACAAGACCGGCAAAGATTTACCGCCTCTTTGACGTAAAATATTGAAATAACAGTAGAAGAAGTGGGTTTTTTTTTTTAAATACAGTTTTGATGTACTCTACAGCCAGAGTTTTTTCTTTACAGCATTCACCTGTTTTCTGGATAACAATTCGTATATTACAATGTGTTTTATTTTCAGTACGGGTGATTTGGTTGTAAATTTTACAAATGCAACGGTCAAGGTCTAGGAATAGAGTCGATCTTTCAATCGGAAAGGTACAACAAGACACTAATGTACCGTGTAATTCATTTACGTAGACACAGTCACTTAAAAGTATGGCCTAATTTAGCAACTGTTCCGTAATTGATTTTTTTTCTATTCCAATTTAGTTGCTGAGATAAAAATAAATTCAGGATCTATAGCCAAAAGTAAACCTAAGATTAAACCAGCGCTATCAGTGGTACTACTAATGGGTCTAATTGGATGCTGAAAGGCGCGCCGTACATGTTTCTGAAGATACTGTGTAAATTTCAAAAGCTTCATTCAATAACGCTGTAAACTTTTTACACGTCTGTTATAATTATTACTATTATAAGTGAAGAGCTTATTAAAAAAATAGTGATCAAACAGATTTATATTTGTTTTCGTTTTCTTTATTTACCTTCTTCATTTTGCGACGAATTAAGGGTACGTAATTTTTCACCTATCTAATCTATGTCCAAGTTTAAAGAGCTGCTTTATTTGAGGTCCGTTACCATACAAAGGGGCTCGTACAACTGCTGTTTGGCTGCGTAACCACAGCCGCATGCGTCCAGCTACGCGAACCTAGTTCGAAAATCTTGCCGTTTTAAAGCTTATCGTTTCGCACCTCTCGTCTAAATTACCGATCCCAAATATATTAAATCATGTAAGTTATTTCTTGCTAAGTAGCAGTATATAAGCTGCAGTAACAGTAATCTTATCGCTCCGTATATGGGTAAGTATAGTTAACACGCCTAAAATGAGCGGCGTTGTAGTGGTGGCAATTCTTAAAATTAGGACGTAATTTAGGCAAAAGCAAAAAGCGACAAACGCAAAACCGGCCGACTGGCGCATTTATTATTTATGTAAAATAATGCATTTAGCATGTAGATTAGGTAACTGCGCGAATTAATAGCTATATTTACAAAACAATTTCGTATAAGTCGTATACCAGAATGAATGCTGAACTCGGGTTTGAGTCCCCGAGACTTCTTCAGTGATGGAACAGGCTACGTGTGTATCCACAACTTCAATGATAACTGTTCCGACGTACGACTCGAAAGCCGCAGACAAAAGGTGAAGCACGTAAGGTCAAAAAATTGATCAAGAACTAAAAGGTGTTACAATCTTTATGTTTAGCTGCTGAAAGGGACGGTGTTTAATGCTAACGAACGCCTTTCTAGGAATCTGGAAAGAGAAGAAACAATATATGTGCTAACTTTTTGTGCAGAAGCATGACCCCTATAAATGTTGGACCATCACTCAGAATATGTGTTATCAAATATCTATTTTTTTACGGAAGCGTTATCAACTTCGGTCTAGGAGCGTAACGGTTTATCTTGGAAGACAATAGTAGTCCTGATTCTGGCTGGGAAAGGAGCTAACTGTTTCGGCTCGATTAACGTCTATGCCTCTTCCGTAGGCATTAAGATTACTGCTTGCTGCGATAACCAGTGGCAGTATATAGGGTGTATATAAGGAACAGCATGCAGTTCTATAGCGTAGGAATGCTGATGTGAAGTAGAGACTAGGCAGGAAAAAGGCTAGATAGTGATTAAAAAATAATGCCTCCACTATAACGCATCTTCGGCATGAGAGCATTTTGTGGATTCTATCGATACTTTTACGCCCACCTTGCGGATAAACAATAGAGAGAAATATTAGTTTGCCTGCAGCTATTCAGCGGCTTGAAAAATTTGAATTATTTCTCAACTACGCATCAATTCTTTGGCAACGTATAACTTAAATTATGCGTCATCGGTGTAAGTTCAAAGAGAGATATTTCGTTGTGCTGAAAATGATGAAACTTCTGTGTCTCAAAGGTATTTATAGACTCTAGTATGAAACTGGTTGAAAATTACCTGAAGCACTAATCACTGAAGGTTTCAGCGATACAAAAATGCATTATTGATACACTAAATTCAATATGAGAGGTCGGAACCACAAAGTAAGTAACCACACTTCATGATCTTAGATAGGAAGTACAAGTTACACAGAAGCTTTAGAAAACAACATAACATGGATAATAGGCTCCCTGCCGTTTCAGTACTTCATGTGCTATAAATTCTCTCGACTTACTTAATAGCTCCCGAAAGCCAAATAATAATAATAATAATTATTATTATCATTATGTATGCAATCAAATGTTTTTACTAAATAATCAGGTAACTCTACAGGTTTGAACTGCTCTTTTGTATAACCGCATTAATCTTTATC